CAATGTTCAACGAGCCCTCCATTCATGGATGATCAACGAGGGCGGAATACCAGACGCCGGGCAGAGAGGGAACTAGGTAGTTTCCAACTTTCGGAGAGCAATACATACAAACAAATATTTCCTCTCGTTGACTTCCCCATATCTGCTGTCGAATGCTCGTGGGAGGCACCGTCGTCGTTAACGGCGACGAACGGAGCAAGAACCACGGAGATAAATAAACAGATAAAGAGAGAAACAGTCGAGCTGGAGGAACTTGGAGCTTCGATCGGACGGTGTATTCAAAGCATGAGATACGCTTCGGGATACGCGATCCATTTCATTCGGGGTCGGGACTGCTTCGCGTCCTCCCTACGGAAGCATCGCGCAAGTCTCGCCCAGAAAGTGATAATTACGAAAAATCTGAATTGAGCATTCTTGAATCACTTACGTATAATCGACGGAAGCGATTTAGATCTCTCGACCGCGCGGATGGAACGACGACCGGGATTAATTGCAGCAACCATAGTATTCCCGGTCGCTATTCTCGGAGTTCGCTTCTGCCTTCGTTCCGCCGATGGAATTTCGTACGCTAATGATCTCCGAGAGAACCATTCCGTTCCGAACCTTCCCTCCGGTCCCACTGCTTTCTAGAGGAGAGGAGTCTGGCAGGAGATTCCCGCTCGCTTTAGAACTCGACTCCCTAAAAATTGGTCAAAGCTCAAGTGGTATTCGTTGAAATTGTCCGAAATGAGGCTCTCGAAGCAGGTTCAACTGATCCGTAGCGAGTCGGAGCGGTTGTCTTGTTCTTTCGCCCGGCAGAGCAACCCCCCGTTGAGTAAAACCTGACCGTCGTCGTTGATGCGAAAGAGCCTCTTCTCGTTTTGCGATAGACGGTCGGGCAGACGTGCGCGCGGCGTATTTGTCGCTCAATGAATGCGGTTGGACCGCTCTCTCCAGCCAGCGGCTAGGAGTTAATTCGTTCTTCCCTAGGATGATTTTAATTAACGCCTACGTCAAATCCATTATCTCAGTGGATGTTTCTCCTGGAGACCCCATCGAGATGACACCTCCCGCAAGAAATGGAATCGTTTTTTTTTTGGAAACGAGGTAGCAAACACGTACTGTGTACAATAATTAGACACCGTAAGGCGGTGAGACAGCCAGACGCATGGGGTAACAGACAGCCATAAACACTCTCCCGAGGACCACTAGACAAAACGTGTGATAATAAAATATATGCGACCAGCGTGCTTTCATTGATATGCGGGTGCCAAGTGTGCTTAGCTCGCCTGGAATTCTTTCTCGGCTAGCTGTTTGCACCACGTAGAATATAATAATCACGCTACGACGGCGCCGAAGAGGACCGCGGGCGACAGCTCTGGAGAAGTGTCAAACACTTCTGCTGGCGAACAAATGATGACTGGGTGGGATCGGCTACATCGGTACCGGTGTCGCGGGGCCAGGCTTTGACACTTCGCTCGCTAGCTTCCCTGTCGCAAGCAGTTTTCTTCTCGGATGTTCGCCATTTTTGCCGCGATGTACTACCGAAGTTGACCCCGGTCGTATGGGAGCTAATGTACATGCTCTCCGACTTCTCAATCATACGCTCGGAGTCTGCCGTCACAGCTAATCATGGCTCTGCTCGTCTTGTCTTCCCATGTTCTAATCTCCGCGTTCTATTTTTGGAAACTATTCTGCGTACAATGAGTAGCGCAGAAGATTGGTGAGGCGGCGGTTCCGTGGCGCAGTTTTCACTCTCAGTGGAAAAAGAGGTCGGACTCCGCCAGATGAATTCTTTCTCGATTGACCTCAAGTCGGCGGATCAGCTGCGGCTTATGCAAACAACGCGGCGCTTTATCGAATGAACAAATGATTGAATGGGATTCCAAACGAATTCCTGCGTTGGATTTGGCACGCAGACTGCGGCCGGGCTCGCCGACTAGCCGGAATGCCTTCCAGAAGTCAGCGATGGCGACGAAGAGAAAGAAGAAGTTAGCCGGGACCAGCATAGGGCGTCAATCCTGCTGTTGTCGTCGTTGTCGATGTTGTGGCTGCTGCCGCCGACGACGTCGACGAGCCTCAGCCATTGGTATTGCAACGTGGGTTCGAGCGAGCGGTGGCACCAACGTCGTCGTCGTCGGCGGCGGCGGCAGCAGCAGCGTCGGGAGAGACAGAAAAAGGACATTGACCCAGCATAGGAACCGACGTTGAATACCGACCAACATTGGAAGCGATATCCAATGGAAGTGACTTCGGAGGCAGTTTCCATCAGAAGGAGCGTTGAGTTGATTCCAACTTCGCAGCCAGTACTGTGGACGCGCTTTAGGCGAGCGTTCCGCCACGACTCCAGCATCCTTCAAGCATCCCAAACGTGGATTTCTGCCGAAGTCCGGGTGTCTCTGGGTGTCCGGGGTCTAGCCGGCGTCGTCCCTCCGCGCAGCTCTCGGCCGCGGGACGATCTCGGTAGTCCCCGCGTATCGCGAACGCCCATACAGATTATGAGCACCATCAGTTCGTCTCATTTGATTAGAGATCGATGGACAGGGCCTAATTTCGGAGCTCGCGGCCTTATCGACCATGATACGATCTTGTGAGCACCCATTTTGACCATAGTCATGGATGGTATCATCCTGGGTCGAAGCGCCGGGAATCAGCTGACTTCACTCCACGGGTGCGGGGGGGGGGAAGACTTACCTACGGATATTTTATGGGGATGCGGACGCGATTGGGTGGACGCTCCCGAAAATTCCTGTGACGGCACTCCGCTTGCTTCATTCCTGTCGAGATTAGTTTTTTGTTCGGATGATAAGGCCAGCGACGTTTTCGAAACCTATAGAAACTCCGGATGACGACTGTTCCCGAACATCGGAAGCCCATAAATTAAGCACAGCGATTCCCACGGTCCGGTAGCTTCATTGTGATGCAGCTGCTCAAGTCGTTGCTCCTCTGTATGGCCGACGCAAAGCTGCAAATCTTATCGTGAAAACCCACAAGCTCTGATGCAAGCCTTTTTGACCAACCGACGGCAGCGATGAGCGGTATCCGGGAGCTATGAGTGGAGCGTCGTGACAATGCACGATCATTCCTCTGCGAAACGTCACCCGGCAGAGTCGCTGAAGATCGAAATGACAAGCAGCTCGTTCCACGGAGGGATGAAAGAATCAACGCGTGAGTCAGGATAAATCATAGATGAGGGCTCTCATACCTTGATCCGATCGAGAACAGAGCTCCATCAGGCTTCGAACAAAACTTTCGAATCGACGCGCTCGAGGCTCGGGCCTATCCGGCATGTGCACAAACAATTTCTGCGGAGCAGTCCTCACGCGCGTGCGGTTGCACAACTAAGACCTGTTCCCGGAGTTGTTTCAAAATCCCTTGGAGACCTCCTCGATTCCCCGAAATAGTCTCGGTCTCCTCGTGGAGCGGCCGAGACCTTTCGCATGTGACTTTCCCCAGGGAACTTGTTCCCGAGACGGGGACCGTCTATTATTGAGTTTCGCGATGCTCCTATTGCGCACGTCGCCGCCTGTTTTACCCCTTACAATGACGGGACCTGCTCGCCGGAGAGTCTTTCTCAGGTGAGATCTGCAAGGGCGAGGAATATCCCCCCTTCTGATACACATGCAGGCCCGTCGAATCATGAGGTTGATTTCCTTACGAGGCAACCAGGTGACTCTTCACAACCTCCGAGGGGGTTCTCCCACGAACGGGTCGGCTTGGGAGTTTCTCCCTGCTGGTTGGAGTCAGATTGTCATCTCTGCCCCAGTCCGGGCAGTGTTAAGCTCCCGAATCGGGCCAGGGAGAAGGATCCGAACCGCTAGAAGTCTCGCTCAGTGCTGAGCATCGAAATGGGATTAGGGATCGAGTTCCGAAGTCGCAAGGGACCGACTCGTCCATTCTGAGCTCGAGAGATTTTGGTTGTCGTAATAACAGATGGAACTGATGAAGTTATACCAATGGCTCCATGATCGTTCATTTTCCATCAAAGGTCGACTGATTGGGCACGGACTGAGCAGTCTTGGTCTCGGAACCGGCTCTGACGCCGAAGTCGCTGCCCATCTTGTCAGACTCTTCTCCGATTGCAAAACGCGGAGTCCGACGCCGACGTGAACCTAGATCAGATGCATACGTCCACGGGAGCTCCTCCTCGATAGTAGGATACTCGATTCGTCATGGATCATTGTAAGCTTGCATCCAGATCGATGGGGATCCGTACGAAAACTCTGTTCGGTGGGTCCCGAACTCCGAACCCAGATCGACTTCGTGGGGTCACCTCGCTTTCCAGCTCTCGGCGCGGGTCTTCCTCCGGCCTGTCGCGCACCATAAACATCGAAGTTGTGTGGACGCGGTCCGTCAATAGAGCCGCCGCGCCGACGAGATTTCACTACAATTAGTCGATTCCTTCTGAATATTCATGCTACCATCATGCAACAAGTTGCTCTGTCACAACCTCCCCTTCTCTTTGCTGGAAGAGCATCTTTTGTCCCGAATCCCTCCCTCTTGCCGCGAAAGTTCGAGAAAGGCTGAAGGATTAGCCATCCTTCGATCGAGGGTCTAGAGCTGCTCGATGGAAGGCTGAAACTCTCGCGAGCGGAAGATGTGAACGTGGAGATGATTCCAGCTCGGAGCTGATAGCCAGACGATGGAGAGATGTAGTAATCATAAAGAGACATCGGAGCTTAAAATTTGACGCCCATTGGACGTCGAGCTCGCTCAGCTTCTCTCTGTTTCTTGTTGATTGCTCGTCGCATTCGAGTGAGAGTGACAGCAGGCGTCCGATCCGCGGAAAAATCACCGAATGATTTGTAGGAAATGTCGTTTATACCTCCGACGAAAATTGGCGATCTGACAGATCTGCCAACTCGCTGCCCCTTCATCAGGAAGATAGGCTGCGAATGAGAACGAAGGTACATAGATCTCTTAAATTCGACGACGGCGATCGGAGAACCTCATGAGGAGTTTCGCGATCCGAATTTGTCGCTCCAGGAACTGGATCCTCCAGCAGTCGTGAATTCGTGAATATGTGGACTCTGAAGGGTTCAGGCCAATAATCGTCAGTAAACATCCTCGAACCGAAAGCTCCGACAATTTGCTCCTCATTAAAGCTGAAACTGCATTTCCAGGCATGTACTGTCCGTCGGCGAATACCATGGGCGTTGGACTGGGCGGACTTCCGTGCGTCGTGGATGCGACGGGTCAGCAGGTGCTCTACGTTCAGATGGGAGAAACTGTCTACTTCCAGTTGGGAGACACTGTGCAATGCATTCCAGGACCAGCGACGGTAAGTTTGTCAGAAATCGATAACAGCACCTTATTGCGCTGTTGAAACTTGAGGTGTTTTGGGACGTGAGTGACATGCATTGATCCGTTGTGCTCAAGATGGAGCTCGAAATATGTGAGTTCGCTGGGGGAAGCTCCGTTGAGAGCTGGCCCCCTCATTGGCTCCCCGTCAGTTCGGAGTTTATAGCGCTAGAGGAGATGTTCACAGAAGGCGGAATATGAATGAATTATAAGAAACAGTGAATCATTGATCGTGTAGTGAGTCATTGGACGTAGGCAGATGATTCATTGTAGCGGTGAAGAGGTTGCGTTAGTGTCAGGCGCTGCTCGTAACCCGACACTGTCGAGTAAATGCTGTTCTGACAATCTCCATGGCGAGTCTCTTCTGTTGGTTTGTGTCTTGGAGTAGCGCTCCTGTACCGCGGAAAGCTTAACGCAGCTCTACCGAACCACACCGTCTGTGCAAACTGAGGCGGAAACTGGAACTCGTTCAATTACTGCCGTTTGCCCGATTTGCAGAATTATTCAAATACTTTTGCAGCGATATAATTCAGATCGACCTCGCTCCGGAATCCAACGAAAGTCGAGGCGCAGCTGGCCATTAAACAATCGGAACAGATCGTTGAACCGTGGCTTCGATTATAGGCGACCAGAGGCTGTATATTTCTGTCTGTCGCCACCGAACAAGGAATGGATTTTTATTCATAATTCAAAGAATCCGAATTTCTCCGGCGCATCAGAAGTGATTTGGATTAGGTACTCGGATCTCGGGGAACAGGCGTTTGCCTCCTTCCGCGACCGAAACTGAATGCTTCCGCTCGACACGCTCGATACGCGGCACCTTACGTTAGCGTTTTCGTGATGAGAGGTGAGAAACCGAGGCGGTTGGAGCTTGTGCTGATTCCTCGGAATGTCTTTCCTCCTCCGCCGTTCAGCTGTTTTCTCGGAAAAGCCCACTCTGAGAGAAGGTTGTCATGCAAGTGTTGTCGGAGTCGTCTAGACTCAGCCGTATCTTAGCGTGCTAGCGGGATTTCGGGGAAAAAATCTCAGAAGCTTTCGAAAGAGGTTAATGTTGACTGTGACTTATCTTGTGTTTCGCGCAATGCAGAATTTACGGGACGGAATTATCGTAGAGCCCCAAGCCGAGGGCCTCGCTGAGTCTGCAGCTGTACTTGGCGTAAGTTTCGAATTTCCGGCACGCGTTTGTCCATAATTTTTCGACCCGAGAGTAGCTTCTTCCCTCTGATTCTCGGTTTCCAACGAAATCTCTCGCAAAAGTCGAGTCCCGAAACAGCTCCCGGGGATTTCTCAATCTGGATTCCCCTGATCCGGAGGGCTCGGGACCCCCGGACAATCAGAGATACCTGGCTGCGTCTTCGGGACAGCTCGACGAAGTATGAATGTGGGAAGGCGCCTAGAACCGAAGAAATTTCCTTGCGCTAGAAATACTCTGTATTCGCAAGCATCCTCAAGCTCGCGCCCTTAAGACCCGCCACGTTTGCATCTGGATCGAGCAGCCCTTCTCTACTTGTTTCTGTTTCGGTTGTTGTTGACGTTGTGAGAGCGATTGCAGTCGCGGTTGCCGGTCGTCGGCTTGTTTGGCAAGCGATCGGCGAACGCCCGATTTTTCGACTGAATCATCATCATAATCGAGCTTCAATAGAGGCAGCCGCGACGGCGCAAGCAACAACTATGAGAAACGCAAGGTGAGCGGCAGTGGTTACGACGACGATGTCGACGACGGTTCAGCCGGACGAAAGGCAATAGCGAGCAACGTGGAGCATTCGATCTGCGTTTCTTTCTTGTATTTTATCTATCTCTCTCGCTTTCTCTCTCATTATCTATCCGTTTTAGCTGACTAAGTGGCTAACATGGACTGAGGCCCCTTCAAGCGAGCGAGCAGGCAGGCTGGCAGTGGCCACGGTCGCTCAGCAACTAAACTAACTGTGATGGTTAGTAGCGGAGCAGCAGCTCGCGGAGAGCAGAATAAAAAACGCCGAAATCTGCCAAGGAACTGCGAGACTCGTGAGCTGCAGGGCGCCTTCGGCTTCAACTTCCACTGCGCGATCGGATAAAGGATTACGGATCGGATTCCGAGAATATGAGGGGTTCTCGCCTTCCGGGAAGTTCTGCGTTTCTCCCTCACGGAAATCAGTTTTCCCGAGGCGGTAGAATTCCTGTCATCGAGACGATTTCGAAGAGAGTTTTCCGTCGGTTCCTTCGCGTAAGCGAATCATACGCGGGACGCCTCAATAAACGAGTGTTTATAGAGCATCCTTATGGTAACTGTTGAAATGTGTAGCGATCGTTGTTGTCGCCGCCACCGGTCCTCAACGTTGACGTCCGCTCTTCGCTCGCTTGCTCGCCGGGACAACCAGGGAAAATGTCATTCAAAATGTTGTGCATGCGTGTGTGCGTGCACGCTTGCGTTCGTCTCCGCGCGTCAGTTTGTGCGAATGAACTGTAGTTGTTGCTTGAACTGGCCGGAATTCGCTGACTGACTGACTGACTGACTATGTTTCGACTGCTCCGCCGTTGGTTGACTGCTCCGATGCTCGGTGCGGTAGTTGCATGGCTTTCTGGTCGGCGCCATCGTGAAGAATCGACCTCACTGACTCTGTCGCTAGACACCGGAATGACGACGACAATAATAACAATGTCGGAAACGCTGTCGCAGCGACGCCCGAGCCGGCGAATGGTCGACTGAATGAAAGACTGACTGACTGATTCACTGACTCGCTAAGTGAGTCTCCTCTGAAGATTCTCATATTGTGGAATAAGCGAATTATTATCCCTATCACTCCGCTCTGATTTCCGACGACCCGTCGCTTCGAAGGTTTTCGATTCCCTCTACAAGAGAAAAACACCGCACAGACGGCGCGGCAACTCAATGATTAGGCATCAATTGGACACCGTTGTCGCAAAGATGTCCCGAGCCCCGTGTCTCTCCCCTTTTTCCCGGGATCGAGTGAAATGATGGGGAACGGAGAACGTTGATGTTCGCCGGTGGCGTATCGTTTGGCTACCGGCTCACCTGTCCCTCTGTCGGTTTCCTTTCCGGTCGGATCGGGTCGATCTTAAGCGCCTGAAGTTCACACGCTTTTTACCGGCGGAAGGTATCGCGCAGTGGGCGCGCATAGAAAGAAGAGGAAACGGGAAAGTTGTCGAACGACCGAAGGTTGCGGCGGGAATGAGCGCCGTGGAACGAAACGAGAGAGAGCGACTCGGACTATAGCATTGAGATCCGCGAGGCAAAGCAGCGGTCTCGCATGTGTAAAGCAGTCATCAGAGAGATCTTGATTGGGAATGAATTCATATCGCTTTTCATATCGGCTTGTCGAGTCGTTTTAGAATGAATTTCGCGAAATCAATGAGGTTTGCCCGGATTGCGGATAGCCCGTTTCTTGAGTTGCTACTCGGTCTTTGCGTTCACGATCCCGAAGTGTGGATCTACGGCGAATCAAAAGAAAACAACGACTCATAATGCTACACACGGAGAGGCCTCAAGACTGCTGATGGCATACAGATGCTCTATGGTGGACGTTGCCACCGATGCTCTAATCATCATCACTACTTGCCAACGAGCAGGATTACACATGGAATAAGGGAGTGAAACGTTCTGGTTTCCGCACAATCGTTTGTGATCTTGATCTTTAGATTCTTACAATGAACGTACGCACGAGAACGGAATCGTCTCGTCCTCGAGCCCCCTGGCAGGAGATGAATCCTCAATCGACTTTCAGACATACCCGCATAGGCGGACCTTTGTCTCGCAGAAATTGCTCAAGGGCGATTATCCTAATTGCTTTGATGGAGCAATTCCCTCCCGTGTGTCACGGTGGAGAGCGTCAACTGAGAGGATCCATATTTAATTGAGGAATTTCTCTATTCTAGGTTCGAATGCTGCCGGGAAACGGGACGGGTGTCGCCTTACCACCCGTGGTCGCGATTCCGCAAGGATACGATGATATGATGTACAGAACTCAATACGTCGCCATGGCTCCGCCCCCTCAGGTACCAACTCACCCCCATCAGGCGTACATGACCCCACCGCCTGCCCCACAACATCCCGCATACGACAACACACAAAGTTCATATGTAAGTTTTTGTTGATTTTTTATGTTGTTTTTTTTCTTCTGGGCCTTGGGAATATTCATTGGTTCCGGTGCTATCTTTTTCTGCGCGGTGTTCTGCAGCCCGAGCAGTTTCGTTCTGGGAATTCAGCGAGAGAAAGGCATAATACCTGGGATTGGAAACTTCCTCAGAGATCTCGGAGAAATTTCTCAGAATCTCCGAATCTCTGCATAGCTGCTTCCAGGACCGAAGTTCGCTCCTTCGGAAATTCAGGAATTCGTTATTCTTTGTTCGGAGCGCTTCTCGAGGCCGAAACTGACGGAGATCGAGGACGCTGGATTCCTTCGTGAACGGGGTGTCAGCCTGTGTTTCTCCGTCTCTCCGACGTCTCATTGGAATACGTCTTTTTCGTTTCGTTTTTCGATTTCGTTCTCCATCATCCTTCCTTTTACCGATACCGCACTCGAACACAATGGAACACAAGCCGTGAGCAGCACGGAGAACATCGGGCCCTAGACTCTCACTCAGTCGGTGGTACGGAATCTCACAGCATTAATTATTCAGGAGGCATGTACATAGGTAGGCCTACTCCAAACTTCCCTCTTCCATTCGCCATGCTCAACTTCGATTGTTAGTCCGTGCTCCCGTTGCCTCCCCCATTTTGAGGATCCGGCTCGACTTCCACCAGTCGAATTGACCACTGGCAGGTTATTTTTTTGTATCTAGAAGTCGCCTTTCCGCCTTAGATACTGTCTCCGAGACTCGCGGGGAGGTCAGGAGAAAGTAGTCCGAGGAAGCGATTTCAGTGTTTTCGTCGATAGAATCATGGTCAATCAACGGAACTCTGGTAGGAAAGCTTGCCACTCTGCTCAGCGGTGAAGGTCAGCGGTGTGATTGTTACTGCTCCGGAGAAAGGCTTGAAGCAGAGAAACCCTCGGAAGCCCATTCCGCTTTCGGAGGAATCATCTCCCGTATTGCGAGTCGACTTGCCTCTCGGAATCCTATCAAAACTCAGGGTAGTCCGAATGGGAGGAAAATGGTGTTAGGAACAGTGTCTCCTCAAGGGAGACGGCGCTCATCCTGCCTGGATTAAGAGCGTCTCCACCGAAAGAGCGCTGCTCCAATACATTCAAACGCTCGAATCGTAGAGCTCGGATCTGAAGAGGCTGAGCTTCCGTCCCTGAGAACTCCCCGGATCGCGTCCTCGGATTCATCTTCGCACTGTAATCAAAAGCTTCACCTATCGTGGCGGCATCGGTGGAAATCCCCCCGGTCGGAAATTACCTCTTTCAACTTAATTAGGGATGTCGTCACCCTTAGGAGAGATATACGGTCTTCGTCTGAAGATCCATGTCTGAAGAATCAGGACAAGCTGCGGCGGTATCCGCAGTTGGAGGAGCCGGTTAGCGAGGCTGAAGAAATCTTAGGCAAGAGCGACTCGCTGATCGGAGGTCGATCGGGTGCCTTGCGAGAATTTATTCCTTCACACCGCCCAGCTGATCGGGACTACACGGGGGAAATACTTCTCTCGGAATCTTCCTCTTCCATCCGATAGCCGAATCTTTGTCGCTGTCATGCCGCTGTCTCCTCAAGAAGCTGTCCGTACTCGATGTAGACGATGATTGAGTCGAGACCGATGAGCGTTTCCGAGATTTGGAAATGTGGGTGAAACTTGAGTCCCAGTCGGTATCGAGCCATACGGGTGAGTGGAGTGTCCCGCATTCCCCGGCTGGATTTCGCGTCATAAGGATGGCGAGTCATCGAGAGAGCGGTTTCGTTCCTTTGGAGATATCTGGCACAATATGGTTCCCCCATCGGGGGCACGAGTAGATCGAGACGGCTTGTTGTGATCGACCACCAACCGAAGAATCGGGGGAAAATTCAAGAGTCAATGGCCTAATCCAGTCCGGCTGACCGGCGTCCTCGACGCTCGTTTGTGCATCAGTTTCTCGAGCTCTCCTTCTGTATAAGTGGAGTTCATTCGCGCGGCCAATAGCCTAGAAAATCTGGAAGGAGATCAGACGAGAATAAAACATTGAGTGCTGCTGTCGCCGCTGAGCTCCGAGCCGTTACCGAGGGAACTGCATCCGATCTATTTTAAGAATCGCCATGCAGTCATGAAAAACTTCGAGCGCAACTTCCGGAGCTCACCCGAGCGAAGGGGATTGTTTCCGCCGTCGACACCGGATGACGAGAGATCGAAAATCTGTCGTCACGTATGACTGTGGATGCCCTCCCGAAATCTATCTGTTTCACCGGTCTGTGCTGGGATCGAATTCCATGCCTCGCCCATGTACGACGGGACTCTGCCGATCCGAGGTTTGGCTTCGAATCGAGTACCTAGGGCCTGGTGGTCATTCGGTGGAGAGGCGTCCCGCTCTGGGAACTACCACAGGTTAGGCGGAGATCTCGTGCGCGGACGGCAGATCAAGCAGGGAGAGTCTATTCCCCCGCACGGAGGTCCACGCGATCGATTGCTTGCGTGGGCGGAACGGGAATAACCTTTCACTCCTCCACATTCCCTGGAGGCCATCATCCAGCTAGCTTGCCCTTCCATTGGTTCGTTTCGAGTCGGAGGGTCGAGAATTTCCCAGACGTTCTCCCGACGACTCCGGGGAGATTTCCCCCGTCGATGTTTCCGGCATGGAATGGTACTTCCTCTCCGTATGCGCAACCCCTCCGGGAACAATATTTGCGTGGGCTGAGGATCCAAGTCCAGTGGGAGGATACGATGAAGTCATCGACGAATATCCAATCGGTGATTTCGATATTTTTCCTCGGATCTCCAACATCTTCGTCGGAATATCAGCTCTCCTAGGTCCGAACTTCGTCTGCGTATTCTGGTCTCCGAATAGACAAGGACACAAAACGTCGTGCATTCGAAGTCCGCAGAGTTTACCTCGTGCATATATTCCGCCCACAGGCAAGTTCCGCGTTGGCTTCAAACGCGCCTGGTATTGCGACGTGTATGGATAGCTCTCAGAGCTCCCCGCACGTGGCGCCCGCCTCGGCGACACAACACCAGGCGCCGACGCCACAGCAGATGCAGCCTCAAGCCCAGCCCCAACAACAACAACAGCAACCTCAACAACAGTCGATACCTTCGTTACAAAAATCATCACCGGTGAACTCTTCTCAGCACCAGTCGACGCAGCAAGCGCCGCAACCGCAGCAGACTGCTCCAGTCCCCCAACAGCAGCAAGCACAGCAACAACAACCGGCTGACAACAATCATCGCTGGAACACCAACAACGATGGTAATCACCACCATCATCATCATCATCACCATCATGGTTCTCAGATGACGCAAGCTCCGCCTCCTCCGCACAGGAGACAGCAGCAGTCTGACACAATCATAACCCAACAGCAGGTGAGTTAGTCCCTCTGAGCTAGAGATGTACCGCACACCGAATCTACGGGTCGGGTCGTAGGGACGGAGACGTTGGAGGGCTCCCATATTTTCGTGGGGTTCGCCCGCGCAAGTTTTTCTCCTCCTTGTGAATTATGGGGAACTCAGTCTCTCTGACCCGGCCTCCCCCTCGATATCTGATCGTAGAGCACGACACAGCCTGTTCCTAAGGCGGAGACAAGACGAATGAGTCAGATGCTTATCGCTTCTCTCACCTCTCCAAGAGTTAATACAGCCGTTTTTCTGGGAGCTCCCTAGTTTATGAACGCTCCATTCTACTGTGCCACTTTAGATGACAGGACATAATCTTGGGATTCATGTGAGTTCCCAAGAAACATCTCGACTCGTGTCGCTGATATCAGGGAACACGCTGAGCATCCTCGAGTTGATCGCTTGCGAGGTTTCAACAATGGCTCAATTGCTCTCGGTGTCTGTTCCACAACGCGGAGCCCATCGAACAGTCTCTGATCTGCGTTCCAGAACCCAAAGGTTCAATTGCACTAGTCAGTCGTTACTCATCATTAGCTCTAGTCGACGACTAGTAGTTTGAAGAGAGAATCTCGCTCTACTTTCGTCTAGCAGCCGTTTCGGTCCACGCATCGTGTGCTCGCCGACCTGAAGCCCTAAAGTTAAAGCGCGCAATCGAACCTGTCGAACGGCAGCCTGGCCTAGTGGCCATGTGTGCGTTGCCGAGATTCAGCTTCCAATACCCGCAGAACTAGAGTGAGAGCATATGTCGGCAAGCCACGTCATCCGGGAAACAGCGGAAAAATAGGTATTTCGCTGAAAACAGAAGTGCTCCTTGGCGACGTATCTGCTGGCTCGAGATGATTTCCCGTATCGCGTTTCAGGTTTTCGCTTTCGCTTCTCCTGCGTTGGGAATAGCTATCTCGATGTGAGAGTTCGCCCATCACCTGCGAGACTATGTTTTGAATTTTTCACAAGAAGGATTTTTTCTTCAAAAGCGGTGCCGCCTAGCTCCGGGAACGTCAGCCTTGAGATCTGATAGTCACCAAGCGGAGACCGACCATTGAATTTCCTCCGATGCATGCAATCGGGTCAGGGAGCAGGGGGCTAGGCGCCAATTCACGCCGATAACTTACGGTTAATCGTGAATCCCTCCGTGAGCTAAACCAACTCGGGGAACGAATAATATTTGTTCTTCCACTGTTTCTGAAGTCATCGGGTTTCTCGGAAGCCTCGTCGGAGACTCATGCAAGGGTACGAGCGAATTCCTCGAATCGAATCCGGAAATCAACAGCTTGGCCAAGTGTTGGAGTCATCCTCTCTTGTGGTCTTCCTCACCGAATTTAAAGAATTTTCAGCAGAATTCTGGAAGGCAGAACCATAGCGATTCAATGTCAAAAAGACGAAAAAAAAGTACATCTCATAGACTCCGTCTTCCGATCGGAATGAATAACGTGATTTACAGCGCTCAAGCTCTGAATTTGGTCTTGAATCTATCTGAGCGACTCGATCCGCAAAATCTGACGTCTATCGCAAGACAAAAAAAACGACGCCTTCCCCTCGGCACCGGGCATCGTTCGAGAGATACAGAATATTCAGTTAGAGGAGAACGTGACAAGTTGCGTAAGCGTCCATGTGTACCGAGCCGATGAGTCATTTGGACGCCCACAGAATTCCGATCCAGGTCAGATTCGAAGTCGACTGCCGAGAAAATTCTGGGATTTCCGCGTCGGAGCATCCCAACCAGTTATATCTACTTTGATAACTGTGAAGCTTGTCGAGATAGAAAACTGCTCCAAGTCCAATACAGCTGAACTTTTTTTGTAGTCGTTGAGACTCTCCCCGTTTCCGAAGGTGATCGATTCTCGTTTTCAAGCTCAGATGAGGATCATGGGGGATCGATAAGCTCGAAGAATTCCGAGGAATGTTGTAGGCACGTATTCACGGGGACAACGCGTCGCTTCAGCGGTGCTTTCTGTTGAATTCGCTTTGCAAGTTGTCGACGTCGAGACCATGGCGGCTTATCTCTGACTTCAAATCTAAAGTCAGCGTTCGAAAACAATTGTTCTGCTCACTCCGCTTTGTTGCATTGTGTAGTGATTTGATAATTCTCCTACGGAACCGTACGCTTTGTCGACTGACCGGTCTTCGGACTAAGCGGTTGCCTTCCCGACCAGCCGACTGGTCGGCTAGCTTGATCCCGTGTTTACCGAGTCTGCTGGTTTCAACAGCGTGGCTTAGGCAGCTCGGTCGTGCGGGATACGTGGAATCCACCGTGGCGGTATTCAGCGGCGCTCGGTACCCTGGACGATTGCGGACGGAGTCAGAAATCGTCTGAGCCCGGGTTCGTCGTCGAATGGCTCGATCTCCGATGATCGCAGGAGATAGCCCGGCGATTAATCCTCAGTAAAGTCGTTCTAATATTCGGACGTTCGGACTGAATGCACGAAATTCAGTCGGACGGTCGGAATTCGAGATCGAGATGAAGCATCCGTTTTCGAATCTCTCATAATTCTCCCACAGGACGGCATCATGAATGGACAAGTCGGAGGCCGAGATCGCATGCGGATAGACGCGAGTTCACACAACGAAGAACAAGTCTACAGGAATCCTAGGCAAGGTGGAGGTTATCCTCGACAACCAATCAGTTTCGGGGACGAGCGGACCCACCGGCAGTATGTGGTGAGTTTCATCGATGTTTCCGTGTTCTGACTTTTGAGCATTGACTTTCTCGTAGATTCGGAGGAGAGACTCGATTCGCGTTGATTGAGTTTCCGATCGCTTTGCAGAAACTCCGCAAAAAACTCGACTCTCGAAACGGTCCCGGTGGAAACGGCTACTCGCGGCCGTCCAATAAGGACGAGAACAGCAAGTGCAACGGCGACAACGTCTACAGTTCGAACCACATCTACGGACCGAACAACAATAACAACAACAACCACACAAACCACAACAACAATAACGGGAGACATTCGACTGATTGCAACCAGAATACTGTCATGCCAAACACTGTGATATTGACCGGCAGCGGTGACAAAGACTCCCGCAGCAAGCTCGGCAAAACTCGACAAGGCCAGCAGCAACAGCATCAGGGATTGAACGGAGCGCATGGTCACAATGCCGGAGGCGCTAGTGATGATTCTCAGGATAGCAATGGATCGCTGAGAAGAAGCAATCCGCGTGGTGAGTGTTCTCACGACAGGCAGACCGAAAGATATACATGAAGACACAGATATCCCCCTGCTTCTACCCCATGGAAATGGGAGCTATCTGGGACTCGGCGAGTGGTAACCATTCAATTCCTCGACAGAAATGGAACTCCGTGAATTATTGACGTGTGTCACAGCCCCAGTCGCATCGGACGTTCACGCGCGAAGCGCTCTATTGAGTTGGAAGGCACCGGATCCGACCGGGAGCCGCATGGGCCAGCACGAATTCACGACGATCGACGTCAACGCCGTCATTCGTAAGTTCGTCCGGGATGCGGAAAATCCTGTATACACGATTCCGGGACCTGAATTTTTTCTCGATAGATCGATTGCCTGATTGATTGCGTACTCGGATTCCGGTCGAACAATCGTGGCGGGAGTATGTGTTTCCGTGAGTCTGGAAATGCCTCCGAGACCGAAAAAGCCTCAGGGGTCGCTCACCTTGATCTTGGGCGCGTTGGCACCTCACAGTGGGAACAAGTGCCTGGAGTGGTTGTGAATCGATATCGCTTTCGGCCAGATCGACGGAGAAACGGACTCCCTCAGACACTAACGGCATCTACGTTGCTTCCAGCTGAGTTGTCATACGAGCTTTATGTGTCGTTGGCACCTGGAGAGAAGAACAGCGGGGTTCGTGAACGTGTTCGTCAGGTCGCCGTGGGAAAAGTCCGAGAGTACCGTCTCGACGGTCTCAATCCAGCTACGGATTACCAAGTCGCGGTCCAGGCCGTATCGGATAAGGTGCGTTCTCTCGTCCGAAGGGTTCGACGACGTGCTACTATGTTTGCTCAAATCCTCGATGCTCGAAAAGAATCTTGATGGGTCTATCGATTCGATTCCCCACGGGGTCTCCCTGATCCCTTCGCCTTCTCGATACGAAGATATTTTTCTCTCCCGCGCAGATCAAGGGTACTCCTTCGACTCCTTGCTTGTTCGAAACGTTGAAGTGTGAGCCGAATACCCCCCAGCCCCCGAAACTGGTGGCGCGGACGAAGAGTGCGCTCGAGCTCAAATGGCTGGCCACGGCCGACAACGGGGCCAAGATCACTGAATACGTTCTAATGATGGCAGAAGTTCCTGAAAGTCAAGAGCTGTCGCAAGATATGCAAGAGCTTAACGAAGTCTACCGCGGACCCAACAAATCCTTCAAGGTGTCCCGTCTCCAGCAGAACACGTTCTACCAGTTCCGATTAGGTGCTGTCAACTCGGTCGGGGCATCTGAGTTCTCGCAGGCCATAGCATTTTCCACTTGCGGGGCGGCTCCCCCGCGACCCGAAGCCCCGAAGCTGGTCCGAATCGGGAGCGACTTCATCGAACTCAAATGGGACGCGAGGAACAACGAAACCTACGGGCTGTACATGATGCAGGATGGGGCCCCGCATGGCTTTGTCGCGATCTACAATGGCCAAGAATCGCAGTATTCGGCGACGGAGCTGTGCCGAAGCTCGAAGTATACCTTCAAGCTGAACGCCCAAAACGAAGACGGAACCTCGCCCTTCAGTCCCCCGGTGCAATTCGAAACCCGAGCCGAGGCGCCAGGGAAGCCAGGACGACCTTCGGCCGTGAGCAAGGTCACCCCGCGCCAGTGTCTTCTCATGTGGTCTCCTCCGAGTGACTCCGGAGGATCGCCTATCCAGGGCTATAATTTAGAGATGTGCATGGTCGCCAAAAATCAACAGGGTACGCAGCCACCGTCCGAGTTCCAGGTCGTCTACACTGGTCCGGAGAATAAAACTCTCGTCGGCGGACTCCAGCCTGGAAGCACCTACCGCTTCCGGGTTTTGTGTAGGAACGAAGCGGGTAACAGCCAATACTCCGAACCGAGCTGTGTCTGTACACCATGTGAATGCCCGGGTCAGTGTGGGAAGCCCGTCCTGGTCGGGAAACCGAAAGCTCACTGGATGAAAATCCGATGGTCGATTCCCGAGAATGACGGTGGAGGCGCTGTTTATCAATACGAGCTCAAACTTAGCAAACACGACGGGCGTAAGGGTGAGTTGCGAGCCCCGCTCCCTTCAGTAACAATCACACGTATTATCCAATTATCAATTATCATTGTGAAGTATTGAATTTTAAGTCATCTTAGAAAACTGTTGATTCCCTCATTCTCCAGTCAGTGGAGTCTTTGATTTTTCTTAACGATCCTTCCTCGCATCCCCGCAGAGTCTGAAGAGCCCACGCCTTCGCCCTCGCCCGAGAGGTCGCTGCGACGGGACTCTGCATCCACCCATCCGGAAGAGTCTTCGCCGAAAAGCAGCGATTCGTGGATGATCGGCTACAAGGGGAACGAGAAAGAGTCGCAAGTCGTTGGCCTCATGCCGGGAACGCGATACCGATTTAAGGTCCGAGCGTTCAACTCCGCGGGTCCGGGGCCGTGGTCGGACATTCTTGTTGCAGAGAGCGGACCCGGGAGTCCTGCCGGCGTCCTCAATGCTCGTGCCGACGTCAACTCTGCTGGGAACGTTGTCGTTAATTGGGAGCCTCCAGCGAACGATGGCGGTTCTGATGTTAATTGGTAGGTCATGTGCAAAGCTAGTCGAAGTCTGAAATTCATGAGAGAGATGGGACCCGTCAGCGAAGCCCCGCGAGCTCGGGTTCTGTCCGTCCAGTCCATACATCTTCATTGAACTCTCAATCGTGTTTCCTCGTTTCCAGCTACATCGTCGAGCATTACGGAGGTGTGGTGGACCCGACCGAGTACAGCCTGCGTCCGGAGAAGTATCCATTCAGTGAAATTTTCCGAGGCGAAGACACGTGCCTCGAACTCAAGAGCCTCAGCCCCAACACGGCGCAAAGTTTCCGAGTGGCTGCCACCAACAATGTGGGCACGTCACCTTGGTCGCCTGTGTTCAGCTGCTCAACGCCCGCTTCGGCTCCCGGAGCGGTTGGTGCAGCCTCTTTAGTCCGGTTAAGTCATAATTCGGCCGAAATCCGATGGTCGGCTCCTTCGAACGATGGCGGTGCTCCCATCGAGAAGTACTTCATCGACGTATCGACGAACAAGAACTCGGCATCTTTCACTTTGACGAAAGAACTCGATCAGTATCGACGACGTATGAGCCGTGATCACGACGACCGTGATGACGGCGACGACGACGAAGAAGAAGACGATGACGACGATGATGAGAAGGATAATGACCTATGTTTCCTAGTCACCCCACTAGAGCCTGAGACGAATTATCGAATTCGAGTGAGGGCTGTCAATCGAGTGGGTCCAGGTATCGCTGGGCCCAGCCTCAAAGTCACCACGCATCCAGAACCCCCGTGCCCCCCGTCGCTTGAATGCTCGATCGTAGGGCACAACTTCCTGAAACTTGGTTGGAAAACCGAGGAAGCGTCACGGAGTCCCCACAAAAGTCAGAAAGACAGGGACCCGAAGGATCACAAATTCATTCAGTATTCTCTAGAAATGGTCACCGGCAACGGGTGAGCTCATTCGAAAAGCAAATAATTAATTTGCCCCCCTCACTAGAATTAGGGCTAGAATCATGGGGAGTCGATGCCTCTCCGCTCAGCTGATATCGATATATTCCTCTTACAGAGCGAACCTGCTCTATCAAGGTCCGGTGACATCGTACAAGGTCACCCGTTTGAAGGAGAACTCTAATTATGCATTTCGGATACGCGCGTCGAATATACATTCGGAAGGAGAATGGTCCCCGTTGGTTTCATTCGCCACCTGTTTCGCACCACCTAGCGCCCCGCCCGCGCCGAAAATCGAACGGGGCGCTCACGAGGGTGAATTCGTCGTCGACTGGAGTGCAGCTACCTCACTGTGGAAGTTCTCTGAGCCTTGCTTGTTCGTGCTAGAAATGGGCGAGTGCACTTTCCCGGGCGAAGACAAGATCTCGTGGACCGAGATCTATAGAGGTTCCGAGGAGCGCACGAGGATTTCCTCACTGGGTGGTTCGGGTGAGCCGCGTTTCGTGCGACTCGCCCAGCTGCGACTCGTCGACGTCGACAACAACATCAAGAGTCCCTACAGCTCGCTTGTACCTCTCTCGAAGAAAGCCCGAGGAGCGCAGAAACAAAACGTGAAGCCTCAGGTCGTTGCCGAGCCCACGGTTTCACTGTCAACGCAGCAGCCGGCTAGGCGTAACAGGTGAGCTGCGGAAGATTCTGGCCGATCGCAAATTGATTCAGTTTATTCTCGTCTTTCGGAGAACGAAGCATCGTATATTTTGAACTAACTCCGTCCCTCCGTCTGAATTTTCAGCCTGAGACCAGCTCTCAATGGTTCCGAGCCGAGCCCCAAAACAGGCGGTCAATTCGGCGACCATCATTGGACTATCATGTTCTTAGTCGGTTTTGCTCTGGCTGCTTTTTTGGTCGCCTGCTTGCTTGAGAAATTCGTTAATGTTTCTAGTTAGAGTGAGCAAGTATAAAGAGAAAAGAACGAATCAATTAAGCCTCGATACTTCCGCTCCTTCCCGATGTACGACCAAGCTCTACCTCCTAGTGGATGGGGAGCGGATCACAACGTTGATGGATCGCAAATGTTTGATCGATTGCCGAATTTCTTTCAGACGTCGCGACAAAAAAAGGAAATGACTGTTTTTAGGAATAGAACGCTGTGCCAGTCGGGAGTCCCTCGGTCGGAGAACCCCGAGATAGCCGATAGTATGGGTGGAAAGTCGTGAAAAAAAATGTTGGTGAACTGGAAAAGCGCCCTCACGATGTTGAACGATACGAGAACAATCAAACGAGTCAGTCATAAGGTGTCATGCTAGCCGCGGACTGTGTTCAGAAGAGAAGTGCAATGGATCTCCGTGCAACAACGTCGTGAATCGCAGTGATTTTCTCAAGCAATGGATCGAAAAGAAATATCACGAGGACAGTCGAGATGTCAGCTGAGGGCTTTTTAGGGAAGCATAGTTTTAACTACAATCTTTTAAACAATTGAGCCATGGTCAACCGAATCCGAATGCTCGGAGTTTCGAGAGATTCCGCCCACGATTATTGCAATGCCTCGTAGGGAGATTCGTAGACTTTGTCGAATATCAGATTCCGATTATTTGAATTCGTCAGTTTTCGAATTCGGAACTCGGATATGATCGCTAGCGGTCCGCGAGGAAAGGGGGCGAAGAAACTGTCAACATCATGAACTCAATCCGAAGGGTGGAAGAGGAAACCAAGAGTCCGATAGTGAATATCCAGGAAAGATACAGATAAGGAACGCTCGCCTTCCGAATCCGCGAAATCTCCGGAGTATTTATTTTTCTCTGCAAGTTTCCTCAACTTTGAGATTTTGAAGTGATTCCTGAGGGATAAAAGATGAGAAAACCTTCGAAAAAAAACAGAACCTTCAAGAAGTGAACGTATTTATGTCTTTAGACGATCCGAGTCCGAGATGTATTCATTCTGATTTTCCGCAATCCTGATGCGAATGGATTGCAGCCACGGTGCCCTCCCTTACTGTCCTTCTCATAGTGAATGATCAGAAAGGACTCTACGATTATAACAGTGATGTTGCGCTACTCAGGGCAATCAGGAAGCCGGTTAGAAGGAGATAAGCCAATGGAACGGAGACGAGAACATACTTTAAGCTCATGACGACTCGCGGGAACGGTGAAGTATTCCAAGTCGGATCGATAGAGGCGATATCAGTATCACACTCACCGCTTGCCGAGATCATCAATCGCTATATATCCAGCGGTTCCGACTTGAACATGTCATGTTTTAATCAACCTCTGTTGTTATGACCTCGGTGTTCGGACCAGGTATCCGGCTTTCGGTGGGACAATATCAGCCTTACCATCGATATCCTCATTTTCCATACCGGAAACATAGGCTTTCAACGATGATCGATGCTGCAGAGATGCTGAGTGGAGGATCACCCGGAACTGATACATGTATTGCGACAACGGAACTACGAAGCATCAAGTTACTACATGAGATAATTCTAAAAATAACTCTATAAATATATATATACACAATCGAAAACTATGAATATATATATACGAACCAGAATGAAAGATATTATATATATGGATGAATATATATATATACATATGAATATATACAAAACGAATTTGGTGCGGTTGCTTTGTGAAGAGACAACATGTGTAAACGACTAGTGAATGTAATCGATGAAATATTATTGAATAGCTGAAACCGATAAAGACGAAATAAATACGATGATCATTGAACTCGAATATCCGTGAATGAGTGGCGCGCTGCGAGATCGGTACGATTACTGCACCGGGCGTTATGCACGAGGTGATGCCGATGGTCGTTAGCCGTGAGCTTTTCCCGTGACTCGCCGACAGTGAAAATATGGAAATCAAAACCTCTATATTTTGTTATCATAGTCTATATAGAGATATATACAATGTGCACGTGAGGCAGACACGGTCGCGAAGGGTACCGGGTGTCTCTTCGCCTGCGAGCTTGACGGGGTACCCGCGGGGCTTTGGAGCCGATTTCCGAGACACGACCGATGTCAAGCGCAGTGGCCCCGAGTTGAGCAAGAGAAGGCACCCAGGGAGATATCAATTATGTCCCTCACTCGAAAATCTTTCCGCCTCAACTCCGTATCATAGATGACAGATGTTCGAAAGAGGAGGTCTGATAGACCGTGCAGACCATCCATGGTCTTTGCTGATGCCGTGCGATGACTAGCTTTCGAGATTAGGCTCCTTAGATGGCATGAGCATGTAGGATAGCCGATTAACTTCGATCAGAGGTTCCGCTTGTATCTCATCCATCTGCAATCAATCACTGTCGTCAATGGATTTTCTGCCGATGCGAAACGCAGTGTCCTGCCGATTTGTCCAAATTTTTCGTCCATCAGTTCTTTCCGAGGCCATATCCTCGTTCCGCCACTTCTCCATCCCGCAACGGATTTGAAGATAGCTCGAGCGAAGCAGAGAGTACGTTCGTGTTGTCCAGGGATGTGCGGAAAACTACGTCAACCATTTTTCTCAAGACACCCGAGCGATCTTTCCCTTCGGAGAACGAGCTCGACCTAAATCCGGAGCGGTGAGGGTGCGAAGCATCGTTCCCCCTTGCGATGATGCCATGATTATTATTTTCGAAAGGCTCTAATTCTCTTACCCCTAGATGTCCTAGCATCGTTAGGAAAATGAGACACAATCCTAGATAACTTACAATGATGAGGGTTCAGTCTCGATGTACCAATTGAATCGCGAAGGAAAATATCAGACTGACGAATCCGACGGAGGATTTTGGAGGATTATAATAAATGTATATTCAAGCATGTGAACCCATCGCATTTCTTCGGCAATTCCATCTCGAAAGGCCCAAGAAAGGCCCTTGAGATGAGGAATGCATGCGCCTTTATTCAGCAGCTGTAGACAACATTTGCGTCGCGACGCCGACGTTGAGACCGCATGCTCGATCCTATTTATATCCGATACGGTATACGACTAGGAACAAGTGCGCCACCCGTAGGTCCGGCGCACAGTGGGCCAAATGGCCGAATTAGGCGGACAAAAAGCTCGAAATTTGATACCCCACATAGCGTCGGAATCTCGTCGGGACATGGGAAGACGCGGGCAACAATCCTTTCCGACTCCGCTTCGATCAGAATGAAGTGGAGAGACAGCCAAAGTCGATGATTCGTACGAATCCAAAGGAGCTTGTTTCCGTTATTCTTCTCATTTGTGTTTTGTGGCTTCGAAAGAGCATCGACACAGATATCGGAATGGAAAAAGGAACACGCCGTGAGTTGAAGTACTTCTTGAGTCCGCATTCAAGACGATTTGAGAGCGGACGATCGGTTTTTATGGTCTTAAATAGAGTGTTTCTTCGAGACCTAATTTCCATAGAATCAGGAGGAAGTAGATTATTCAATACAAGACATGCCCCCCGTGACCCCTCGCTGAAATATTTTTTTTTCAAAGTTCCGGCTCTAACTTCCCAGAAAGTTGTTGAGAGACCGCGCTTCGTAGCGCTTCTCGAGTTCTAGCGCCCCAAACAGGGGGATCGTAAGACCTTCGAGACTAACTTGCTGTTTTCAGGAATCGAGATTTCTGTGCCGCGGATTCAATTTTTCCGATGTTTGGCGTCAGTGTCAGGATGGAAACGGTCCAGATTCACCTACACGATGGATTTTATCGCAATGCGTGGACAGTGTGGAAGAGTGCCATTTGATCAACCGACGAGATTTGAGGCATGAAGTCACTCGCATTATTTCGAAGCTCCGCAAGAAGCACAAGAAATGCCGTCGAGGCCGCGATGAACTCGTTTGTTTGTTTCGTTGATACTTTTGCGTCAATGAATCCGGGCAAGCATCTCATCGTTGTGATAGAAAAAGAGACAGACATTAGTGTCTTGTTGTCTCTTTCTCGAAAAGGCGCCAGACCAGCTCCTGGCTTCCCCTGTGAGAAATTCCGAGCTCCGACCCAAGGCATCGAACACGAGAGCTAGATCATATGAGAAGTTTGTCAAGGGGGAGAGAGGGAGTTTTCCATTCGCATGATTTCGTTTCACGAGCTCCGGTTCCGTGATACGCGGGGTTTGTGATGAGCGGAGCGCAAAATTCGTGTATCTCGAGCGTGAGAACATCGAATTAGACAAGCAGCATCGGATTCGAAGTGTAAAATAATTTTTTCCACCTAATTTGGCCATTTGGCCCACTGTGCGGCGCTTGATACAACTGGGTTCACTCGTCCGAAGGGCGGATGTATCGAATTATAGGCAGAATTTATCGACGACTTGTTTATCCTACTTGAACCTTACGCCGACTTTGTGAAGCAGCCCCGAATTTTTTCAACTGGGCTCGAGGAGACAGGGCAATGGTACCGCGGACAGCCCGGGGACCGTCGGCTTCGTTTGAAGAAGCCCTGTCAGTCGAGGTTCGTTTGGCCGCAGCCGGAAGGACTTTGAAGAATGTTGCCGAGAATCGGTGCCTCCTCTAAGCTCTCCGTGCTAAATGGGCTGGATCACCGCTCCCGGCTTCGGGTTTCTCTGTCGGAATCTCCCTTTTTTCTGAACGGCTATTCGGCGAGCTAGAGCGGATGAGCCTTTCCTGGAACCTGCGACCGGAATACTTGGCCCGAGGCTTCACGTCAAACTTGGGAGATGCCTCCACTTCGGTTGGTTATGCCGAAATTCATGCATGAAGGTAAGAATTCGAAGAGTCCTACCAGAGCAGGCGAATATGGTTGAGAGCATTCTGAGTTGGGCTGCCGCCAGGACTCAGAAGGTCTCATGTTGTGATTTCGGGTAGCGCCATGGTCGCCTATTCACAGCAAAACGATCATGCCGCCTCGCTGAGAGAGGTTCTTTTTCTGGCTGCTGATTTTTCAATTGCTTCTCTTGCCACTTAAGCGGAATCGCGACCAAGTGATCATCCGGGAGCGGCTAGTGGAACAGAACTTTTGTTCGGCAGCCATGGATCACTTGAGGCTCCAACAGGCTTTCGACCGCTATCTGGACTTGGCCCCGGACGGCAAGAAAACAGTTGCCACCTACATCTTCGTGGATCTGATGAACAATGTGTGTGCGAAGGCCAGGACGCTGGATTTCGAACCGAAATCTCTTGAAGGTAAGCAATAGAATACTGGTGGACTCCGCGGGCGAAATCTCGTCCTCCTGAGGAGCAAAAGTATCCTGCTTTTACTCGGCTCGACTGGGCCATTCGCATTCGAGAACTCAGAAAACCCGAAGCATGACTCAAGAGACATTGTTTGATCGCTGTCAGCAGGGAACGATAAGCGCTCGCGTGAGAGCATGCGCCCCCCCTCTCGGGGAACGGAGTACGCAGGTATCCCCACACTGTCACTGTTACGGAGTATTCCGGCCGCTCGGACCTAGAACGAGTGCCCGTCAGTTTGCAAGAACAGACGGTCACCCTGAAAAAAAATTACTGTTTGAAGCTTCTTGTCCGATCGCCAGGGCTCCCTCCGAGGGCCGGGTTAACTTTCATTCTGCTAACAGAACCTAAACCGATCGATCCGAGAATGGAGATTCCTCGACTTCGCTCTCGCCCCCACAGGGACGAACCCAGAGCTTCATGGTGAATCGAGAGATAATTTTGTCAATGAGAGGATGATTGATGGACTTCTCCGTGTGGCGAAATCGTGTCTCCAGAAAACGTTCAGCGAAGCGTGCATATATGACGGAGAGAACCGATTCCTGTTGAGCTCGAGTGGGAACTGGGGACAGAGTGTAACCTGTATTTTCATCGTGATGACACCTCAGCTTTCTGGTCCAATTCGAATCAGTGTTGCCAAAATGTCTCTGGCTTCGAAAATAATGTGTGGTTTTTCTATCTCAAGGATTCGATTAGAGCCTTTCAAGAACTTGCTGATTCGGTATCGATGATGAGGGCCATCACTTGAACCTTGTTACGGGCGGTTCCAGCTGGAGAGGTCCTGCGGCGCGAAACTGCAGCACGAAGATACTGCAAAACCGTGGGCTCGATTATTGCTGGGGCGGCACCTATATCGAGTTATGTCGAATTCAATTAATGAACGCCTCTAGCCCGAGTTCCGGATCTTAATCACAATGGTTTTAATACAGATGCTTCCCCGCAGAGTACCCTTTGTGGACTTTCGGTGTCGGCGATGATTTGGAGAACAGTGACGCAACGCTCACTCCTGTCGCAGTCTTCAAGGACCCATTCCTGAGAGGTCGGAGCAAGCTAGTGGTGTGCGATACTTCCCGGAACGGCAAACCGTTCGGACCGAATGGGAGAGCTGCGTGTAAAGCGGCGATCGATCGATGCGCAGACAAGAAGATAATGTTCGGGATGGAGCAAGAATACACTATTCTGGACCATGACGGTCATCCATACAGATGGCCGAAGTACGGTCAGCCGAAGATTCCTGCGGGTAAGCCCATCTCCAGCTGTCCCTGGCTGCACTGAGCTGTCGACGGATCTTCTATTTATACCATCGCCTAGGAGGAGTTGAGAGACTCAACTCGCGGGGATCTATTCCATCATTTCCGGACAGGGCTATGGGATCCCGGTGCTAATTTTGATTCTTTTCCAAGAGACCGCTTATTATATATGCGGCGTCGGCATCGACAGAGCTCGCGGGAGAGCCCTTTCAGACGCCCATTACTTGGCGTGCCTCTACGCCGGGATCGAAATCACTGGTACGAACTCGGAAGGCACGCCATCTCAATGGGAGTATCAAATCGGTCCATGCGAGGGCGTCTCGATCGGAGATCACATGCTGGCCGCCCGCTACGTTCTCTGGCGCTGCTCTGAAGACTTCGACGTGCTCGTAACCTTCGATCCGAGACCCATTGATGGCCCGTGGACGGGTACCGGATGCCACGTGAACGTTTCCACGGAAGAGATGCGCTCTGAAGGCGGAATGACGTAAGCGTCTCCATGGGCGATAATCGATAAAATTCCCCAATGTGACCAAGGCTATTTATATAATGTCTTCCAGCCACATAATGGAAGCAATCAAGAAACTTTCGCTGAAAACCGCAGAGCATCTAGCGGCCTATGATCCCAACGGAGGGAAGGACAACCTGCGACGCCTCGATGCCGCGATGTTCTGCCCCAACGTCAAAGACTTCAGCTGGGGCGTCGCGAGTCGAAGCGCTGCGATTCGGATCCCTCGCCTCGTCAGTGACAAAGGCTGCGGATACTTCGAGGACCGTCGACCGTCGTCCAACTGTAACCCTTACATGGTGGCTCACCGGATGACGGCCACAATCTGCCTCGACGAATAAGCGTTTTTCTGTTTCCGACTCGGAATAACATAAATTCTCCCAACAAGTCCTGAAGCAGAACAGGCGGTTGGCACGTCTACGAAGACTGAGACTCCAAATAAAATCTCGAAGATGATAAACCTAGCCTTCCTTGATGCCTAAAGCAGATTAGGTCGTTGAGTAGGCCCTGCTCCTTTACAATCCAGACCATCTGTCTAATAGATGGGCCCTTGGCAGCCACAAAATTCCGACAGTGCGATCTCAGAGACCGAGCACGCCCTTCCTATCCTTGTCGACGGAGGTCTTGAGAGCTATGCTCATCCACAATTTCCTTAGAGGTAATCCCAAATTAGCGATTGATCTCCGAGAGTTCTCTTCTCTGATTCGGGACAGTGCAAAGGTCAGTGCCCCTGGTTTCGTTCCGGTGCGTGACCCGATCGAGATATTTTCGGGAATTATGTATATCTACTTCGTAGATCCGGTGCTGTGGAGCTCTCTACAAAAGTTGGAATGACCTGAAACCCTATCTGCCGAAACCTGCGAACCCGGAGCTGCGGATAAATCTTGATTACCTACGAACGCCGAAAAGCTCCGGGAAGCTTAGAATCTTGGCTATTCATGGGAGTCCGGGTAACGCAGAACATTTTCGCGCGCTCGGGGAAACAATGCACGATAAGTGCGGCGTGGATTTCATCGTTCCCTCATTCCCGGGTGCGTATTGTGAGCAGCATGATTGATTAGCCGGAGATTCGTGCTTGCTTAGTTCGAGGAGACCTTCCAGACGTGACTCTGACCTTACGGACCGGAGAGTATTTCCACAGCGCGGAGGAAAAAGTGGAAATGGTCGAAGAACTTCTGCAGAAGCTCGGGGTCTCAGAGGTCGATCTACTCATCGCTCATTCGGCGGGTAGGCTTCTTCCGTGATAACAATTATCTCGGAAGCCTCGTTCCGCTCACTGTCTCGAATGCATCTCGTGAGTGAATCGGCACCCCCATTTCTCAGGCACTCATGCGGCGATACTGATGGCCCTGAATCAGAGACGGGTTCGAATTCGTTCGATGGCCCTGCTATGCTCAACGACCTCGAAGTTGCTTCCGTACGTCCTTCATTCGTTCAGCTGACCATCAAAACATCACATGGTCATTCCCGGAATTTGTTAATTAAGTCTTCATGAATGACTTGCGAAGGTGAAATTCTCTCATTCAAAATTCCCTCGTATTCCATTCTCTTTCCAGCGTCCATCAACCAGCATGGCTGCACTCGAGGATGATTTGGATGCTCCACAAACCTGGCTTGAGAAAACTCATCGTCCCGTTTTATGAGCTCGTGATTCTTTACCTAGGACTGAAGAAAATTACCGCCACGGAAGCTGTTACATCATTTGCTGCAATTTACGCGACCACATACTGGTATCCGGACAAGGCGTCGCAGTGGATTCAGAACTTGCGAGATCGAGGTCAGTGCGATCTCCAGCCGTTGCGGACTGATCGGATGGATTTCACTGTCCTAACGGCATGAGCCGGTTCTCAAGGAGCCATAATAATCGATCCGGAGTTGCATCGGGGGGCTGGGCTTTCCCTGTGCACAATTCGATGAATGACGTCGACGTTGTTCTTAGGTTTTCCGCGAATGGCGATATACAGTTCGAGAGATTCTGTGGTGCCGTCAGGGATGAGTGAAGATTTCGCGAGAGAGCTGGGGAACCCCGACAAAGCAAATCACTTCACATACAGCGGGAGATCGGAGGCTGAAGTCAAATTGATGCATGAGGTGAGCGCTCATTCCGACAAAAGGATTAGGTATTGTCGAATCATCAACGAGTGCTCCTCCGGCGCCGCATATCTAGATCATCCGCTCAAAACTGCATCGTTCCGAGGAGCATCGTGACTTTTATAGAGCTTGATCATCCACAGCCCTCAAATAAAAACCTCGTACCGATCGTACACTTCAAGGACGGCGGTCACAACGTGATGACACAGTTCCCGGAAACTGTTGCCGATCATTTGTTGGAGTTCGTCGAGTCGCAGGCACAACGCGAGTGCTGAATCTGGAAGGACAGTGTTCAAGTGGGAAGACGCCGATCGCAGCGTAAGCATGACATCCATGTCGAGGGGGAACTTCTGAATCTCCAGTAGCGGAAGCGATATAGAATCAGTGTTTGATGCGTGAAAGCTCAATATATTTCTTGACCGCCTGAAACAAGTCGAACGATTGGTAGTATTTATTGCATAAAAGTCTGTTGTAGCTGGTATGCGTCATTCTTTTCCTCGCTCAGAGGAGGATTCCTCAAAATATGTTCAGAAAGTCATCGAGAGGGTGCGTTTAGAGAGATTCGATTGAGAGACCCTTGTTTGAGTGCGCCAGTCTCATGCTCCCCCTCAAATGCTTCTCTCGATGATAGGGACACGGCTCAAAGGAGAAGATCGGGCTAGATGTCGTAAATCACGAGAGAGAACAACGATTCGAAATGAGGAGCGAGGGAATCGTCGATGTTTTTCCAGAGCCGATCATTGTCACGCCGAGCGAAAGAACTCTTACATAATAAGCCCTCATGGAACGTCTCCCAGAGACGTACTAGCAGTAAACGAGCGAGCAGTCTTGAATGTTTTGATCGGTTGATCAAATCGGCAAGGACTTCTATGGATGTTCGAATCGTCCGTCGCCGGTTGGTCACCGACCAGAAACTCGCCAATCGGTCGTGTGATTAGTCGCACAGAAACTCCATTCTATTCGATGCCTCGCTTCAAATGAGAGGGAAAGTCTCCGTGGACGAGCCGAAGCCGACTCGGTTCCTCCTTCTTTTCGATATCACGTTGTGCCTCGACGGATCCCCAGCTCAGAGAACGGACGTTTCCCGTGAGCTTCTTCTGGCTCGAATCATCAGACTCCCATCAAGAGGATGTTCTCCGCCAGGATAGGCCTCCCGATCCTGTTCATCGCCGTCTATTGCAATGCAACAAGCTCGATTTCGGTTCACAGCCTCCAATCGACGCAAGGTGAGCGACAAGACTATTATAAGAAATATTTTCCTCTGACTATCGGGGCTCGATCCTTGCTGACCCGCTTCTCACCTTACTTCTGGTTTTTTCTTGTCGATCTGAGTGGCTCGAGGGGCCTCTCCGTTCTTTGGTCCCTGTCGTGGGAGAGATCCGGTATCTATAACGACGCTGACCCCAGCATGTCGTCCTACGATGGACATGATCAGTCGTGGAATGATTCGCTCTGTTTCTAGGAAACTCACCCTGCCCGCAGGATCTGAAACCTGAACTCTTCCAAGGATGCACGTCAGGATGTTCCAGAAATGGATCCTCAGAAGTATTGTTCGAGATGCGACTGATGACCGTGGCTCGTCGACCATGTCCTGTAAGAATCCGATTTCCAATCGTGGCAATTAATGAGAACCCACGCTAAAGCCGGCGCCGTTCCCACACTTAACGCAGGAGTTCTACGCTACTAAGGCTCCTCAGTCAGGGTACGAGTCCGTTATAGTAATGAGTCCGATATCTTCCAGGTGAGGGTATATACCTACCCGAAGTTAGCGCCACCCTTCAACGCCTGCATCGTCCAGTCCCCCTGTAAAACCAACGGGAGAACGTGATCGAAACTCGAGAGGGCTCCACTCCTCGAGCTCAAATACGGCTTTTGGCACGGGCGATGCTCATTGAGGGGGTTTGTGAATCAGTAGGATTCCTCATGGTCGGTTCCTGTGCTTGGTCGGAATCTATTCTCTCGTCTCTGATATAATTTCCCCAAGCGATATATCCCGGCCCTCGACAGAACTCGCGACGCCGTCCGCCTCATACGCTCGAGGACTTTCCCTATATAAAACCTTATTTCCTCAGTGATATTCATGTTAGTACTTCATGCAACCAGGGCGAATGGCGGTGCGATCCGGATGTTTCAATACACATAAATCAGCTTGGAACTCTTTTCTCTCGGGATGGAAACCTTTCTCACTTTATGTGCTCGCTCCCCGTGACCTCATCAAGAAGTCAGCCTGAGGGAATCCGACTCCGATAGGATTAGGGACACTTTCGCTCATTGTCAGCCAATAATGTTGAGGTGTTCTTTCCTTGTGACAGAGAGGGTGCGTTAGCTTCCAGCCTTGTGCAGCCTCGAACATATCGGGTGGTGGACATCATGAATATTTTCGCCAACTTTTCACCAACATCGAGGCCAGACCTACCAACACTGCTCGGAGGCAGAGCTCCGGCTCTAATGTTGAATGTTCAGCATACATTGTTGGAAGGTCATCTTAAGGTCGTTCACATTTATTATTTCACTTTATTGCGTCAATCGTCCAAATCGCATTGGGTTCCCAGCAGGAAGAAATGCCAGTTTGATGCAGGACTCCAAATCCTCAAAATGCAAATCTTCCACGATTCGTTTCCGCTTACAACCTCGAGCGATATGGGACCACGAGGAGCTTACGCCAGCTTAGCGTATGGACTTGCGCGGAATTTCTCATCGTGATTGAATTTTCGGACGTTCCGTCCCGTTTCATCCGGTTGATGCCGAACACGGAAAGCTCGAGCACGAAACACACAATGCTCAGCAGCATAATAACGGAGCAAGAGTCCAAGATGGACATGAAATCTCGGAACTCCATGAGATATTCGGGTTTCGGCAGAAGCTCTCGTTCGAAGAGACATCGCCGTGCGTCTCGTGCGGGAGTGCCTTGATGATCGGTCTCTCTTGCCGAGATTCTTCGGCAACTCGGGTCGCTCCGAGCCTCCATGATCTCTCTCAGTTCGGAGCGGAGTGGCGCAGTGTAATGATCGCGGCCATTCGCCACGTATTCCGGCGGGAACAGAGCGTTGGCGAGGCTCAGTTGAGCGAGCCTCAAACAGCACATGCCCTGAGGATCCAGCCGACTCGCGACGATTCTCGAGAAGTTCTCAGTTAGAGATAAGGTTGCGCCATGAAGGTACGAAATAACGCTAGCAGTCGAGTCCTGTACCGCCTTCAGGCTGTACATCGGGACGTCTTCCAACAGAGCCCCGATCGGGGTGGTGAAACCTCTCGCGTCTCTGCAAATAACTTTGCCGTCCAGGAGCGCCGGCAGCTCTTTTCGGAGGAAAATACCTAAATCTCCACTCAGTCTCAATCCAATCGAGGGGTCGTCGGTTTTCGAGCGCTGTATGGACTCGCATTTGGTCACGAATTTTATCCGTGATTCCGGGAGCGAGTGTAAGGCGGCAACGACGTCTCCCCTGATGCAGTATCCGACGACTTGCAGGAAGAGAATCCAAATCCCGACGACCATGAAGAACTGTTTAGGCTTACCTCGGAAATCGAACCGCACTGGGAAAACTGCGAAAAGTATGAGGTGGAAAAACGTATCGCCGAAGTTTTCTTTCACGAAGGTCAAGACAATCGAGCCCACGATCGCAGTCAATAGTATGGGGAGCCAGATACCGGCGCGTGACATCGAATGAATTATCTGCTTTTCCTTGCCCCTCGGAGGGACCCTCGCCACCGCGACCAAGGATTGTGCCGACGAGAACCGAATGGAGTCCCGTAGGTCCGTGCTGAAGGCGAGGCTGTTCCGGAACTTCACATACACGGAGACGTTCGACGGCCCAGGCTCCCGGAGCTCGAGGATCAGATGGCCATTCGGCAAATCCACGTTGGATACGAGTCGCGAGATTTTCAGCTCACTGGTAGAGTTTCTCCCGAATTCCAGACTTTCCAACTCCAGATCAACCAGATCTTCAAGAAAATTGAAGTATAGCGCCAAAAATCGGTTGTGCCATTTTCTCGTAGCGGTTTTGGTCGTGCGTAGGCTGAGTTGATTCGTGTCCTCATCGAGAACTCCAAATATTTGAGTAAAAGGCGCTACGTCTCGATTCGTAATGTCGTCCCAAAATGCGGTTTCCGTAGAAATCCATAGGAGTGCAGCACTGTGCTGTGGAACGATCAAGCTCGAGATGGTATGCTGCACGTCTTTGACAAATGATCTGTGTTTTGCATAAGTCAATTTTTTTCTCCATTCCGCGAGTGGCAATAGAGGAATAAATGAAAACGGTCGTCATCGTTTTTCGTTAGTAACGCCTTCGCGAAGGCCGCCATCTCATCGCATCGCCAAATCTTCTTTATTTTGCTCTCACGCAGCTGCAGTGTCAAATGAGAGGCGTTGATCTCGTGCACGAAACTCGGCTCCAAATCACAATTCAAGTTGATGAACACAGGCGCCCTATTCAACGCAAATAGTGAGAAGATCCGGGATATTGTGTTCTCGACGCCACCCGAGAACTTCACACCGTGAGCAATAGATTGCAGCATGAAAACATTGTGGAGAATCAAAACACTCCGACGCATTCTCGGAGGATCCTGCAGAAGAGTGAGAGAGCACGGCCGACATTCGCCTGTCCAACGCCGTCGATAACCCTTGCCACGGTTCCAGCGTCGCGTCGTCGAGAGTAATCAGGCTTCCTCGCGGGGAATCAAGGTCTTGAGCAGTTGTATTATTAAAATGACGGCTCTATGACGGCTCAGTCCAGCCGTGTGGGTTGTTTGTTTGCGTTCATAGCTCATACCGTCCCCCACAAAACCACTTAGATGGCGCTGACAAAGGACCTCGGAATCGATTTCGCATAAGAATATTGTGCCTAGCCTTCTCTTCCTGGCCTCATCGAGACCACATCAGTTTCCCTTACGAGCACTACGCTGAAAAAAAATGAATGGACCGAGCAAGCGAGAAATGCTCCGGAATAACCTGTATTGCTTACGATCGAATGATCGTACTAGACTGAAACTTTGATGTTGCATCCGAGCATCCATTCTCCCCCCCATGCCGCCCGCCCCTCCGGCCAGAGGGGAATTTAAGGTCCGAACGTTCAAAGCTTTCGAGGCGCTGAGCTCCGGCGGATACGAGACGTGGTATGTTGAGCGTTGTCTAATACATGATGGAATCCACTATGATGAGGAGTCTCCCGCAAACATCGTGAGGTCGGTCGGGGACGGGTTCACCTTATCGAGAGCCCATCCTTGCCATGAACCTGCAGGCTACCCGCCGTGGCCTGCGTCGACACGGACCTGACTGACAGCCGATGGAGATTCAGCGTGGTTAGAAGTTCGCTTGCGACTCGCTCTGGACGGAATGGGCACCAACTTATAAAAGGTCGCTCTCAAACGGCGCCGCTCGCGCGGGGGAAGGTGTGGGTTCGAAAATCGATGATCTTTGTCGGAGGCTCCAGTGTAGCGGCTGATGCTGCTTTCCTACGTCATCCTCCCTTTAGTTGAGATCTCCGAAATAGCGAGTGAGGTATACAGAACCAGCGCCCGCGAAGCCTTTGAGTTGCTGGAATGATCTCAGCGAAGGGATGGAGGGACCGAGAACCTGAATTTTGTGCGAGCTCCGTAGATATGAGGCGTGTCGTGCATCTCTCAAAGAATTATAATGAAGGCTATGCACGAATATGGTCCAGGTCAGTGAAGCGACCCCGAGAAACGGCCCGATCCCGGGCGCGAACAGGGACATCCTCCTTGAAAAGTTTGAATTCTCTTGTTTCCAGCAGTGATTCGAGTGGTAGCGAGCCTTGTAGCTCGACGAGCGAGTCTGTCGCGATAGGCCAGGTGTGATCTAAATCAGTGACGAATTTCCCCCACCCATACCAGCGGCTTGTTGACGGCGATGGGCTATACGACTCGTGCTCGGGGATAAAGACCCAGGAGCAGGGAGAAAATGAAAGTTTACTCGACTTAGAGATTTCTCCGCTCGGCAAAGTATGAGTCGATTTTCTTTGGAACATCAAACCCACCAAAAGTTTTGAGAAGTTGCGCCGAGCATTGAGATACTGTGTCCCCGTAAGTGCGCCCATGTCTAACCGACACAGCTCTGCGGCTCGGAAAAACTCGGACGTGTAAATGCTGCGAATCCCAAAGAAGGAGGCCCCTCATTTAAGCGCTCTTCCGTAATTCAGTTGGATTGTTCAGAGCGTTCGCGATCAATGAGCATGACATTATCCGGCCTTTGGAGATAAAGTCGAAAGACAGATCACTCGTCGAGACAGATCGTGGCCGCCATCCTTTGAGCGACCAAGTAAGGATTGCAATTGGACGCGGGTCTCCTGTCCTCGAAGTATCCGCAGCCTCTGTCGCTCACGAGTCGCGGGATGCGTATCGATGCTCTGCGGCTCGCAACTCCCCAGCTGAAATCCTTCGTGTTCGGACAGAAAAATTCGGCTTCCAAACGCCGCGAGTTATCCCTGCCTCCGTTAGCGTCGTAAGCCGCGAGATGTTCTGCCGTTTTCAGTGATAGCTTGTGTATGGCTTCCAAGATGTGCCTGCGAATTTCAAATGTTCGGGTATTCGAGATGAATCTTCTTATATCAAGCGGTTTCGGGCAGCCCGCGACTGGTGAGGTAACTTACACCATGCCTCCCTCTTCGCGCATCTCCTCCGTGGAGACGTTGACGTGACACCCAGTCCCGGTCCAGGGACCTTCGATAGGCTTCGGATCGAAAGTCACGATCACGCCAAAATCTTCAGAACACCGCAGAAGGATGTAGCGAGCGGCGAGCATATGATCCCCGATCGTGACTCCCTCGCACGGGCCGATCTGGTACTCCCATTGGGACGGTGTAGCCTCTGCATTGGTCCCCCCGATTTTCACGCCAGCGTAGAGACAGGCCAAGTAGTGAGCGTCCGACAAGGCCCTTCCGTGGGCTCTATCGCTCCCGATGCCGCACATGTAGACGTAGCTGTCTGCGATAACACGAAAGGTGATTCTCCGCTGACCACGACAGGAATTCCGGTGAGAATCTCAACATATCCACCGGTATGATTCCTACCGGGAGAGAAGAAAACCTTGACTTCGTTCGATTGCGAGCGCCGCATCGATCTCTCATGGAACTCACCGACAGGTTTGGTTGGGTGTCCGTTCTTCGGCCATGCGAAGGGATGGCCGTCGCTGTCCAGGAGCGTGTATTCCTGCTCCATTCCGAACATGATCTTTACGTCAGCGCATCGATCAATCGTGGCTTTGCAGGCAGCTCGTCCATTCGGTCCACAGGGTTTCCCGGCACGCGAGCTCTCACAGACTACCAAGATGTTACGTTTCCTCAAGAACGGATCTTTGAAGATCGCAGCCGGAATGAGCGTTACATCGCTGTCTTCCAGGTCATCGCCCACCCCGTATGACCATTTCGGCACCTCTGTGGAACGGAGTGGAATCAATTTTCTATTTTCATGATCCTTGGCATGGGAGGTCGCGCTCTCACCATTCACCCCCCATTTTATCGCTGGTGAACAGATTTCGGGGACATTTGCTAACTTCGGGGGCTCGAGAACTACTTTTCGAGTGCCGCTAGTGTCTTCTCAAAGCTTGGTCCCTCGGAGGAGTCAAGTGTTCCGGCCCAAGAGAACAGCAGCTAGAATCCCCGAAACTTTCCGTGCCGCAAATGGACTCATATAACTAACATTGAACAAGAAACCGATGCCGATGGCTCTTTTTCTTCCACGATTCCCTGAATATAACATCCTGCCCCGGGAAGCCGAAGTGCAGATATCGGCCCATCTTTGAAATGCTCGATTCGTGACCCTCAGTGCAGGACAGCCAGCCTAAGCTCCGCCATCGGTTGTTCCCTAACGATTTAGAACCCGTAAATTCGGGCAGGATAGGGCCGGACAAGCTGAACCTCTAGTGTGAACTTCTCGTAGTGACGTATCACCGCGGCAAGTCAGCCGATTGGCAACGTGTTAACGTGGCAACGTGGTAAGGCAACACATGGGTCGACTCGACCTCGTAATGTTCGCAAAGATCTGTACTCACCTTCCGGAGCTTCTGGCTGGAAATCGAGAGTCCTCGCCTTCGCGCAAAGATTGTTGCAGATATCGACGAAGATATAGGTGGCCACCGTTTCATATCCTTGAGGCTCTAGATCCAAGTAGCGATCGAATGCTGCTTGGAGTTTCAAATGGTCCATTATTCGCGTGTTTGGTCGCGATATGCCTAACTGTCCGCGTAACCCCGACGCTCTGACAGTGGAAAGACGGGCGACTCGCCGCTCTTCACAGCTCATTCTTACACTCAGCCGCGGAATGAAGCCCTCTCCCAAACTCTTGATAGGGTTGCCTCCATGCGGAAAATATCTTGGAACATGCAGCTTGAGGAGCCGACAATTAGGCAGAGTATTATACATACCAAAAGTGCAGCGAAGGCCCCGGTGAGCGCTGGATGCAGACTCATAGGGGATCAGGGCCGCTGCAGGACCTGTCGCGACATATCTCTTGGGAGACCGCCCACCGACATTAAACTCCGAGCGTTTCGAATCAGGCTCAATCAGTCGAGGCAGATGTTGCCGCGAAAACGTCTTCGAGTTTGCTATGCTAGACCCACAGACCAAGGGTACTTCGTCTTCAGCAGCACGAAAGTGCCCTGACTTTGACGCTAAATATCTGTATGACGCCTGAGCTACGCAGTTTGCGATTCGTCTCGTATCGGAGCAAAACGTACGATGCTACCCATCGAAATCCGCGGCGATTGAAGCGGTATGGGTCACTGCTTCGGAAGATGAATATCAGTTTCTGCCGATGAAGGAGCGGTGTCCCGGGTCGGTTTCGCTGTTGGACTCGGGCGACGCCTGGCCCCTCCACATTCGCAGATGATCAACATCCGAGAAACTTTTGCCGGAGAGGGGAAATCTTTCATGATTCATGAGAATATCGCAAAGTTATTATCTGCGAATGATCCGTGCTCTTCGTCATTCTGTGGCTCCCAGCTCGTGCATATCTCCATGCGAATCGCGAACGTACAAAATATAACCATGTGAGGGTACAAAACTTCGTGCCTGGATAACAAGGAAGGACCGAGCGGAATGTTGAAATGAATAAATGAATAATTACACATTCATCCCCATGACCCATGATACTCAGATCTTGTAGGAAGAGCGGTCGAGGCTTCTCACAACGAGCGCTCCATCTTGGAGTGATCGTGAGTCACGTAGACTGGAAATATAATTTCGATCAAAGCACTCAAAATGATAGACCGCCGGCAATGATTCCCTTCGTCGCCAGCAAGGGGTAAGAAAGGACCCACGTTTTCACGCTACAGGGTGACTTGCTAATAACCTTTGAATTTGACTGAGATCCGAGGAATTCTCCTCCTCATTACTCGATGAATCCAAGCCCGGAGGGAACTTCTTATCCCTAATCCTCTGAGAAATCTGCGCTCATGACGTTCGCTTCTAATTAGGCTTCCCAGAGTTTGTTCGAGATCTCTCTCCAGGGTGACCGGATCGAGATCCTATGCGATCACCGAACCGCCATACAGAAAGAAATACAATCGTTTATAAGACGATAAGACGTAATCTCCCTCCGGTCTCACCAGCTTAGATAACTTCATGTTCTGAGTTTGGCCCAAAGCTGTGCTGTAAACCCTATCGCCCGTATCTCCAGTCAAAGCTCGCGAAGTTCTTACAGCCAGGCGGTGGCGAATGGATCTGGCGGTCTCATCTCGAAGTTGGTTCCATTATTTGGTTTCTTCATGATACTCGGTCTCGGGCGGGATGTGACATCTGATACCCCACTGAAGGATATCGCAAAGTCAAGACGTAATTGAAATCGGCACTACAGAACGTGATTCATATATCCTTATCGACTACTATTGCTTTTACACCTTTGCGAATGACTCGTTGCATGAGAAATTTCGGAATAGTTCCGGACCTCCCATGTAGCCCTCGAAAGAGTTCTACAGCGAGCGGATCGTCATCCAGTTTTGGACCACAGCGATGGGAACGCCATCGAAGTTTACCGTGAAGTTAATACTAGCGCCCGACAATAGTCGTCTAGGAAATCGCGATAATCTATCCTTGGTGGTATTCTTATAGAGGTGGCGCTCGTTCGAGACGCGATCAAGTCCTGAATACAGTCGAACCCGCTAAAAATAGAACACCGGATATAAGAGAGCGATTCCGATTCCCTGATTTTTTCTCCATAGGGGTTCATGTTGAAAACCTCCTTTATAAGAATTCCGGATGCAAGAGAAAACCGGATATAACAGACCATTCCGAAACCCCGGCTCCGTAGAGTCCCATGTCAGAGCCCTCTTATGTAAGAAAGAACCATCTCAAGCAGAGTTCGGGTTTGCGCTTCCATGACTTCTCTTCCTCTCAAAAGTGGCCCGAATGAGATATGGTTCTGATGGGCTTCCGTAATAAATCAGAATTCGCTCTGAAAACGATCGTCTCTGCGCTGAATCTTGGTATGGGCATCCGAGTCATAGGACAACGGGACTTCTCAGGTTTTTCCATGGAAAACCCGTACCTAGGATATTAGAGAAACCGGATATAAGAGACCATTTTCAATTTATTGCCCGAGAGGTCTCGTATAAGCGGGTTCGACTGTATTCTCTTTCCTCCTGTCCGGTCATTTCCCCGTAAAGAGGTGCGATGAAAGGATCGTCGATTCAGACTTCCGTGAACATTCTGATTGGGTAACATGCCCGTCATTTTTTCAACCCTTAAAAATCTGCTGTCCTCTCGAGACTGCCCGACTGTTGGAGACTGGCCGTCCATTGTCTCGTCGAACCACCAAGAGAACTGAGTCTGCTTGCATGCAGTGTTCAATTGATCAAATGAACACTTGGAGCAAGAAAAGTCCTCCACCCTTCGCGACTCGGGTACCAGATTTCTGAGCCCCGAAAACCTCTCCTTTCATCAGGGACCGCCTTGCCGATAGCATCATTTACAGAGAACGTAGAGGAGGCATTCAAATTTTTATTTGAAGCCTCCCATTGACGCGAGAGCTTCCTCATAGCCAAGGTCGGATCACGACAAGCAACAGCTCACTTGTTCTACTCTCCGTCGAAATCGAGAGCGCCCGCCTCTCGGGAATCAGCCCTCGTTCCGGCAAGCGAGACGCCGAGCAGACCACTGACGATGGGCGAGAGAGTTTAGAATTCATTTCGCCGAGATGGCCCGCACCGGCGAGTGGCCGACTCTGGAAGATCTCAGCGCCGTGCTCAGACTATCTCGATTGGAGTAACCCATACCTCTAACAGAGCATCACTTACTCAGTCCTGCCTCTTGCGAGAATAGTCGCGACCGAATCATAAGAATGATACGGATGCCCTGCGTGCTTATCAAGAATATATGTAAGCCTAGGCTGATTTGAATGCTGATCTAGATTCGAATGAGGTGCATCGATATTAAATGATCTCGAGGCGTTTCTCCCATGTCCGGATGGCAGATACTCTGTCTTATCACCATATACTTCAGTTTCGCCGAAGGATTGAATTTGATTCTTAGATAATTCATGAGACAAGCGAGTATTCTGCTGCAGATACGGGAAACGCGGAGCATTCGGATCTTCAGAAGAATATCGGTGGCGCCCTAGGATGATAAAATGCCCGCCTCGATATGCGATATGCGCTACGCATACCTGACTCGGGACTGCTCTGATTTGAGTAATTTGACTCATCGGCCTCCTGAAATATGAAATACGGCCAGATCAGACAAACCTTCGATCTCGGCATTGTGTATCTCGTATTTTTCCCGAATCTCCCGAACGGCTGGAGCTGACGCTGGCATTAGTGTCCATAGTCGGCGAAAAATTGGGCGACAACACTCACGACTCGATATTCGCCCGGAATATTTATTTTCGCGGCTCGAGTCCGAGCACGAGCTCTGTCGGTACTGCTCACAAGAGTGCTCGGACTCAAGACCGCTCTCTCAGAGTCTTCTGAGAGTCTATATAAGACGCTCGCACCCTAGTCCACCACTGACAGTGTTATTGGCGTTTCTAGTCATGGTGAGCAGCGTATGGTTCTGTCCCAGATATTTGATCGGGTTTATGATCAGAGATTACGATGATTTCGGAGTAAATTCATGACGCGAGTTTCGTGTTGTGTTTTCAGGATGATCTCACCAAGGAACAAGTGAGCAGTGAGTATCCATTGGTAGACCTTCGCGAGTACCAAATTTCTATTCGCTCCTCGCCGCGGATTCACCCAGGAGCGCCGCCCCCACATGGAGGTATCATACGAAGAGGGAGTCTTAGGGGGTATTGAGTCTGATTGCTTCGTTTCGCAGTGCTCCGCAAGGCGTTCGACATGTTCGATCGCGACAAGAAAGGCTTCATCCACACCAACATGGTGTCTGCCATCCTGAGGACCCTCGGTCAGACCTTCGAAGAGAAGGATTTGAAGGACCTGATTTCGGAAATCGATCAAGACGGGTCCGGTGAGCTCGAGTTCGACGAGTTCGTCGCCCTGGCTGCTAGATTCTTGGTTGAAGAGGACTCCGAAGCGATGCAAGAGGAGCTCCGCGAAGCTTTCCGTCTTTACGACAAAGAGGGTAACGGCTACATCAACGTATCAGATCTGCGCGAGATCCTCCGAGCTCTCGACGACGCTCTCACCGAGGATGAACTCGATGAGATGATCGCTGAAATCGATACCGACGGCTCCGGAACCGTAGATTTCGACGGTAGGTTCCAGGAAAAAGACTGCAAGTGTCTCGGGCAGCCGCTCGGGTGCCTTGTCGTCTTCATTTTACGGCCCAGCTTGCCCAACCCCGTCGATTTCCAAGTTCCTCATATCCCTCCTTGCTTACAGAGTTCATGGAGATGATGACCGGAGATTAGGACCCTTGTGCACTTTCTCACGATACGGCTGGAATCTGTGAACCTCTTTATTCGGCAACATCTTCGAAACTTAGTGTCAACTGCCGATCTGACAAAGATTCTCGTCGACCTTCAATAAAGCGAACATGGATTTGCTTGATAATTCGATCATGATGAATGATGAATCTGTGTGGTTTCCCTGTCCGCCAATTCGTTGAACTCGAAGCTTGCTTCGATCTTACTGTGATCTTCGGCGCTGTTTGAATTGGATGAAGGAGGATATCAATGATCGTTCCGAAATAAATATTTTGCTCAATTAGAACGGTCTTCCTATGTTTCTCAGGGGAAGAGCTAATTCCTTTCACAGAAGAAGGATAGAAACGTAGGAGATCTATATAGCTTCCGCGCTTTTTATTTCAATGAATGTCCTTCCAAAAATAATCATTTTTCTTTACACAATATAAATTATCTACTCGTCATCTAGTGACTGCTGACTTACATAACGAAAAACATGAGCAATTTATCATATAGGTATCGCTTACTGCGACTTCTGCCACCGTTACGGAGCGTAGCCCCTAGAAAGTATCACCGCGAACCCCCTATATGTGGGTGAGTTCTACCGTCAGCATCTGATTCTCCATAGGAGCATGGATGGAGTGCTTCAACGCCAAGGGAGATTTGCCTCCACGTCCTGAGATCTAGACGATCGCATGATCGCGTGTGGCCTCGTGCTGGATTGAAGAACTCTATGCTCCACCATAAAATGAGCGATTAGGGTCGGGGTATCCTCCCGACAATCGAGCACGATTATGTTTAGAGAAACTCGCCGATGCATTCTGCTTCTGCGCGGGATTAGGCTATTCACAAGTTCGTGTCAGCCTCGACCCCATTCTTGTTCACGGTGCCTACGTAAGGACAAAGATCGAGTTAAAATACGACCTATCTCCCCCGGGGAAATGCGTAGAATTAACGGAAGCTCCCCATGGCAAGAGCGATCTGAGTTGGATCAAAATGGACGGGGCTCAGCCGGAGGCTCACCTTCATTTTTCTGTTTTTCCTCCTCCTCATCGCTGTCGTCCGGTTCACTGTAGAAATGCTTGATGCGTTGTGCATAGAGGATGACAAGTGCGTAACAAACGACTCCAACAGACAGCAGCCCGATCGTCGTGCCATGCACCAAATACCTGCGAACGTTCGCGGGATCGAATCGAGATCCGGCCGAGTGCACAAAAACCGCGGGAAGCAGTTGTGTCCCTCGCGGACACTGAACGTAAGCCTGCATATAATTCAGAACTTCCAACCCACGCAACGGGTCTTAGCTCGAGAATCGGAGGATCCTTTACTAGCTCTCACCTCATTTTATCGATATCATAGATCTTGCAGCTCCCTCTGCTACCATCGCACTTCTTGCCCCACAATATGCACGATTTATCTAGCACATACCCGTAGATCAAGGGGTATGGTATGAAAGCTGGAGACAGAATATGACGAGAAATGAAATGCGCTTCTTCCGCACGTTCGGGATACATCACGAGAGGTATTGATGAGGATCGAGAGAATGATATCTCTTAGACTCACCGACTAGGTTTATAAATGATGAGCCAGCCCCGAGGGCGATACTTTTGTCCACTGGGTCGACGCATCTTAAATACAGCAGTATGCTGCCAGGTCTCGCAGAGGATCCAACGAGCTGACACAAACTCACGATAACGAGGTACAGTACCAGTGTCGAACATGTCGAGCCGCAGTACCTGTGAGGAGGACTCGTGAGGATCTCGACGGTGGGCCCGCATCTCCCGCGGAAAAGTACTTGTTCACCCCAAATAAATATAAGATATTCGTCCGATCTTGATTCTCCCTTCCCGCAGGCCGGTATGAGGAGGCTCATGCTCACCCAGGTTGCACAGTTTCAGTCGTGCTCAAAGGATCCACGCAAGTGCAGTTCGTATAAGAGAGCGGGATTCCCTTCGCGGATAGCTCTTGCGTACGACAGCCGCCGTAACATGGCGAGAAAAGAGTCCCGATTGAAGAGCAAACGGGGGAGAAATCGTTGACTGAGCACGTGCAATTAGCATTACAGCTGTTAGTCAGCGCAGTCGCCCTACAGAGAAAAGTGAATTGAGAAAAACCTTCGTTCGTGACTTCGATGACACCTCAAATGATAGGAGCCCTCCCGAGCTCCTCTCGAATCATAACGGGACGGAGGAGACCATACTCACGCGTCATGGTAATCGAGTGGCTCTCCGTGGTAGGGGCCGATGAAGTCGGTGAGGCCGCGAATGGTTTTCGATTGACACCCGATGAAGGAGAGAGCGACGTATCCCGACAAGTAGGTGGCTTCGATGAGTGCCACATAGATTGCGACTTTCCGTGCTGATGGCTTGAAGAACTGAATCAGCAAGCCACCGGCCATTATACCGATCATATTCGTTAGAACCTTCGAGACTCCTGTTGGTAGGGAAAGATTCGGCTTGAGCCTTTCCTAGTTCTCAGGGGCTTCCATCGGGTATCCTTCATACTGCGCGGCTCATCGCGGATCCTGGCCAGGTATTTTTACCTGAGAGGAAACTAGCGGACGAAGCTGTCCTTCCAAACTGATGCTCCAAGTATTTCGTGAAACTTGTCCCGTATCCGGCAGAAGCGATGATGAAGAAGACGAAGCCGATCGATTTCAGCGCGAAGATGGGGTTCTTAGACAATCTGACAACGGAGAGCCAGATTTCCTGTTGAACGCGAATGAAATCAGACGAGACTTCTGGAAAGATTCTCGACGGTCGAACATCTCCCAGGTGACATTCAATCTTTCTCACCCTCGAACACTACCAACCTTAATTGCGCCCCGGCCGGTTTTCTTCGACATGACTTTATTGGCTTTCTGATCTTTACCCATTGGGAGGATGCGGGGAAAGAACATCATCGGTAGCGCGACGAACGTGAGAGCGATACCGAAAAATATGTAGCCGAGCCACCACGCACCGACCCATCGAGGGTCTCTTTTGCTCAGACCGACAGGCGCTCCGTCTGGAATAGAGTGGCAAAATATCTGTGAGTCGAACGTATCTACGATGAAGCAGAGATCAGTGTCTTCCAAGGCGCTCCCTGAAAGCCTCGAACAAGGTTTCCGGGGCCCTCGACGCTGTTAGCTAGAAATTATCCGGGGTGGGCACATGAGATTATTCTCGTCCCGCTCCGAAGGCTCGGCGTTGATTGGAGTGACGCTGGGAACCCTGCAGCTTTCCACAGTTCTGAGGTCAGATTAGGGATTAGGCTTCCCGACGGCTTTTGTGGTCGGGGCACTTACTGAAGAAGTCTTCGTGGAACGTCAGGCAAAAGCTAGACGTCAGAAATCCCAATACCGGGCCCAGCAAGCGCAGAGCGAAGGAGACGCCTGGAAAAGGAGGAAAGATTTTTCCGACATAAATTGCATCTTTCGGAAGCATCTGGACTTTGAAGGGATAGACAACGAATCAAAAGAACTCACTGAAGTAGAAAGGCGAGTTTTTTTCCTTATGTTGTCGTCCATATAGGTTGAGCCAACAACGTAGTAGACACTGCCACCGGATCCATTCAAGAAGTTAGCGAAGAAGAACAGGAGGAAGGGAACCCACGCTGGGAAATTGAGGGAAATTACTTCGATTCGAGGAAGCTCGAGAAAACTCGGCCCCTCTGTGTCTGGTGGCTCCGTCACACTTCGCCGAACTCAATTCGGGAATCCCCGATCTCATCGAGTTCTCAGAGAGTGCTACGTGCGTGTCGTTCATCGCACTATCGTAATCGGGGTGCCGATGATGGTGTCCAGGTTGCTTCGAGGATGCACGCATCCTCCCGCAGTACGGGGGTTCGAGGGCGCCGTTGGGCGGCGGGGCCCGCGGGCTGCGACTGGGCATTCCTGGTCCATACGATTCAATAACGTATCCCAAGCCTCCGGCGAGATCTTACCCTGATTGTCGGAGCAGCCATCTCGATACCCTCCCAGCGATTTATCGTGACACACTCGCAATTTCTGAGCGGCTCTAGCCATTTCCATTTCTTCGTCTGTGATCCCTGGTCCATAAATGACGAAAGGCAGGATACTGAACATACAGCTCAAGACCACAATGAAAGAACCTGCAAAATGTCGGTATTCATTGGTTGACCCCGGATATTCACAAATTCATACAGAAAGCCAACGGAGGGGAGTTTCCCTCACCCAAACTCATCAGCTTCGGTCGGCTGATGCGATTCGCATAATAGCCAGCGACAACGTTGATAAAGATCGGTGAAATATTGTCAGCTATCAGGATGATGGCCGTTGTCGAGTTGGACATTTGGAAGCGGCGTTCGATCGTAGACAAGGTCCCCACCAGGTAGCTTTTGTAGGCTCCGCTCAAAATCCCCATCAGCACGTAATTCATGAAATACCTGAGAATGCATGAGCAGTTTGAGGTATTGTAAGGACAGAAATTCGCGGAAATATTCCATCCAACTTCTGAACTCCCAGAGGAGCGGACATTATATCCGAGTCTTGTATTGTGTCTTCAGAAAGCATCTTATTCAGCGCGAGGCTTTCGGAGAATCTGACTCGATCAGAGCCCCCCTACTATCAATAGCAGGACTATGTTATCAGGCAGAGGCGGCGAATTATTCGGCTCGAAGATTTCTTGATAGACGCCAACAGGAAAGGAGATCCCTTTAATCGTATATTTTTTCGCGTGCGTCGCCCGATTTCAGAACCTTTCGGTTCTCGAGAGTATGATTCGAAACTCTCCCGAATGTCTGAATTGGGGGAGCGCGAGTGAGATCGTGTGAGGAAAACAACATTGTGACTCCGCGGCAAAGCCAGTTGGATTCATTCACTCACAGAGTTCTGCATCAGCGAGTTTGAGCAGCCTCGTTGAATATCGAATGACCGGAATCGAAGTCAAAATCAGCCCTTACCATCTCGGATGTGCGAATCGTTGCAGCCACGCAGGTCGGTAAGAAAAAATCCCGCATAAGTAATCTTTCTCTGGATGCACAAGTTGAGCGGAAGATTCAGCGGTGGATTGGGCACCTAAAGAATCCTGCGAGACGGACCACTTCGGTGGATCTGGAATATTTACTAGTCTGAGTTTTGCGCTGTAATTTTGCTCGATTGTTCCGATGAAACTGGTTAGAAAGACCGGATGCAGATTTTGTCTCATTCGAGATAAGGCCACAACGGAGTACTTCCTGAGCGAGCCAATCCGGGACTCCGTGAATCGAAGTATCGAAGCAGGAGGTCGCTTGCCGCCTCTCAGTCTCCTTCTCAGGGATGCAGGCAGAGCCAGCAAATGCCGAAGGGCCTAATACCTCCCTACGTCAATAGTCACCCATCTCCGGCTAAAGATGGGTGCCTATACAACCTAAGAAATGCGAAGTCTACATCGATCAACTTATCGAGAAGCGAATGATTGTTTCCGCCGTCAGTCGTCATGGCTGTTAGCGTCTAAATGAAAGAATTCATCCCACCACTCGGCCTTGACCCTTGGCCTCTTTGACTACTCTGACTGGAGGAGATAAATTTCCATCACTCGGGGAGGGACGAATAACCGAAAGCCCGGTGGGTGATACACGTAGGTCGACAATCATTTCCTAGCATCGGAAGCCAGCCGAAGCTGTCGTCTGATGACGGAAAGAACTTATTTTGGCGGAATTTCATCCGATCCATCGATTCATGATAGTATATGAATCGCTGATAATAGTCTCAAGAAAGAATATGCGTTCGAAACCATATGTGAAACCTACCTGGTCCCCTCATGGTGACTACTCAAAGGCTACTCACTCCGCGCCTGGAACGAGATGTCAACTCTTGGTCAGTCGGCTTCCATAATAGTGAATCTATAGAGCTCTACCGCCCGAGAACAGCTAGGGGGACGCATCGAGAAACGCACGGAGTATCGCGTTGGACGGCGATGAGATACTTTCTACCCAGACTCTTTAGATGCCTCAGCGCCTGAGCGATTTCCGTGTACAGATCAGCGACAATGATTCCGAGGTGATTTGACTGCAGCCGCTAGCGGGCGAAACGATGAAGCTTCGAGCCACGCAAAGACGTCGATGAGCATAATAATCCACAAGGGGATTCATCTCGCATGGATAATGATCAGATAACATCCAGTGATGGGCGGTAAGAATCGATGAGATCGCTAAGTGGGTTTCAACCCCCAAGACTCTGAGACATCGCGATCCGGGATGCGGAGATGTCGTGAGGAAGCGGGGTGTCTGGCAGGAACGCTTCGCCATCGTTCCTTCTTCCCATGAAGCAACTTCGATTCATTTAAGGGAAGAAACCCGAGCGTCGATCGCAGCCAGATGAAACTTGAGCCAAGGTCCGATAGCGTTCGGCTAAATTGTAAAAGAAGCATTCTCTAAAGCGAGAGTATTCGGCTGGGGGGAAGCTGAGGTGATTCTCCGTGGGGTCGATAATAATTCAAGTGAGCTATTGGAGACCGCCGGCGGCCTCTGCATCCCTATCGTTTACATCGAGTCGTCGCACTACCGCAGAGGCCTTCCTTCCTCCATCGTAACTCCTTCCGCGCTCGAGATCAATTCCTGGATTCCAACACCACGATTCAGCATTACAGAGTGGCTTGGTGAGGCGTCGCCGATTTGCATGGCAGCGATTCGGTGCCTGGTTGGGTAAGCGCTCGAAATGCCGTTTTCGTCAGGTCTCAATTTCTACTACCATGACGATACTCGCAACCGAGCTAACGCAGTGAATCCCGAGCTCCGAGAAATCCAGATGAGACCGAAAAAGATTAATGAGACTCAAGCGCTCGTCGAATATTCGGAGGAGAAAGGAATGCGTCATTCCGCTCCGTTCACTCCACTCACGGGTTATGAGAGTCGCCACGTTTTCACTCGGTTCCGTTGATGAGATCAAATCCACTACTGACCAAATTCACGGATCGACTGAGAGTCTGACGAACGCTAAGTCTAATCTCGCTCAGGCCAGCTTCAGCATATCCGCCACACTCGGCGATTCAAACAAAGTCGAAGAGTTATCCGAAAGTCTGAACTTGCGTTGTCGCGATAATTGAGTCAAGGACAGCCAGACCCTTGAATGGGAGACTTCAACAATGTCCAATCTGAACGACTGTCCGGAGGACTAACCCACTGATCATCCGATCGTCTGGGTAGTCCGTCAGCTGAGTGAAAGAGTGATCTCACAAAAGAAAACACCTTTATTTGCGGAGTGAACTTGACGGCTGAATACGCATTCCGTTTTGCTTGAAGTTTCCCCACACAGCTCTTGGAGCTCCTCACATTCACCTTGCCGGATAGATTCCACAACCAGGCATCGCAGATAACTTTTCTGTCGCTCCCGTCATCTTATTCGTCCCAAGGACCTTCACAGAATCGCGTGCTGCGAGGATCGTTTCCCCATCTTAGTAACGAATCCGTGGACACCTTGCATTGACCGAATGGGATTGGAATAGTCTATGTTGGAAACAATATTCACAGGAGAAGTCAATCAATGTCTACTTTCAGCTCGGATGGGCAGAAGAACGAAGCCCCGAGCGTCGGAAGACATTCCCCGGAGATGCCAACCTGGGGATATTTACGCGCAAACAGAAGATCATGTCTGGTTCAAGTCTCAAGAAGGAACAGCTGACCGGTCCACATTCATGTACGGCGCCCGGAGCGGTTGTAGGACGACCGATGCGAGGATCTGGATATTCCGCGGAAGGCATCATCGATTTACCGAAGCAGCCCATCGTCACCTCCCGTGTTCGAGAATATTTCACATGCTATGTACCATTCAGCAATAGTGCCGACCGGTCGCCCTGACAGCCCACCCTCACGATCTGCTCCCGATCTGCTAGACGAGTTCATCTATGATTTTTCTCATGAGATATTCTCCTATCTATCCCGGTTTCCGCATCACTTTGCCGTGTAGTTTCGGTTCGAGTCCATCAATCTTTAGGGAAGCCGAACAGCTGGTCTAGCGGGACTTGTTCCAGAGCACGCCGGCTCACGAGAGCTGAGTGAGTCCGATATAAGTCCAAAACACAGCTCTTGTTTGCTACAGAGCCCTTCACCTGTGGCGCGGATCAAGATGCTTTCTCCGAAATTCTCGAATCTCGTCTCACTGATGGACTCTTGATTGCTACGTCCGCTCACAGTGCATTGCTTCGAAAAACAAACCGCGGCAGCAGCCGAACATCCTCCGACAGCAGGCGTTCGAATCATCCATTGGCTCTGGAGGAAATCTGGCGGCACTAACCTCTCTGGCGACTTCTGTTTAGTTAAATCGTTGCGTGAGTTGTTCTGAAGGCCGTGGCTGCTACGATCTGTCGGCGATCGACAGAGTCATAAGGATCCCTGCGGATCTGAGATGCTGTTGTTGAGATTGTCAGAGTCGGCTGACGTCTGGTGCAGAGAAGGGAACCTCATCCGACGCCTCACAATAAATCTCACCGCATCGCAAACTTCCGCTCGCGCTTGTCGATCTCTGCAGCAACTGAACAGCTAACGATGTGATTTTGTGAAGCTCACTATTCTCCGCGCGGCGAATTTTGACAGCAAGCATTCGCTGTGCCGGCCGATTTCCAGCCTTGTAGCAACTGTTCTTGTCGATCGGAGTGGTTAGCGCAGGAATCCCATGACACAGATTCCCGAAGCGACTGTATCTTCTCCGGAGCTGCGAAGAGCGGGAACGATTCAACGCGAAGCGTCTAGACGAGAAAATCAGAAAGGATACTTTGTCAACTGCGTAACGTTCGCTCCGGGGAGAGGATTCGTCCAATCCAAAGGTTTGCAATCCTTCTCGCCACAAGCCTCGCGACCACCTTGGATAGAATTATATGCCATCTTTTGCCGACTGGAATTCTTCATTTCGGAACAATGTGACGATGTGAGGAGGGAAACCGAATTTTCCATCCCGATCCCATCCGATCTTGTTTCGGGAATCCACGCCATCCGAAAAGCATCGGGCTCGTGTCGAAGATTCCCGTGTCTCCCGTCGAAATTCCCGTGTCTCGCTCCTAGAGAGGGCCCCCTCTTCATCATGAATGTATGAGTTCCTGTCCTAAACTCTGAGCAACGTCAGGCTCGGAACCTTTTCCATCACCACCCCCCCTCCCCTTGGACGTCAAATTCGTCGGGAGGCTCATGAACGCTGTATTAGGAAAGCAAGTTTCTTATCTCCGTCCTCGAGAACTTTGACGCGAGTCTGTGCGTGAATCATATGTTGATACGGTATCGATCGGCATAGCACCTTCTGCGATGAGTCCTCGAATTTGGTCGAGCTGTGGGTGCGACTTTGTCAGAGTGGCCGTGATCTAAATCACGAGAATGCTCAGCAATGTCACAGAGTAAGAACGGAAAACAGCTCCCACATTGAGAGGAGTAACTTTACGATCTCCCGGCATGAACCGTGTTTCGACCGGGCAAAGTGAACGAGTCCCGCTCTACCTGAGGAAGCCCGATCTGTTTCTGTCGGCTCAGGCTAATCCATTTAGATTTCGTCCACGGGTGCCCTGAAGCTTAACCCCGCGCCTTAGCAGCTTTAATCGGGGCTTAGTCGGCCCATGACCACGGAGGGGAGACCTATGGTCGCCTGGATCATCGCGCATCGTGCCCGCTGGAGTAGGCTGCACGAAATGACGCACGTGCGGAGCATGCGCGACGATCACGTGCAGCGCAGTGGGTTGAACGCTTCCGGAAAGACTGAAAACCTGTTCGCGGACGTATCCGAGGTTTTCTTTCCGGAAGGGTTTGCCGGAAGACATGCCAACATACCAAGGAGGCAGCAGTGCAGGGTTCGACCGCGAGCTGGAGCCGGGATGCTCCACTCCGTGAGGTTGGAGGACAGCATTCCTAAAGAATGATATTGCCTTCGCCAAACGGGGATATTTCCAGAAAATGCGCCTCTTTTCCTCCGTCTCCCGACGCGGGATTCCATTCTCTGTAAAACCAAGTCCGATCCTGGTCTCGGTATGGTCTCTCCGATTCTTGCTTGACAGAGCCACTCGATACGCTGGAGTTGACGTCCTCTTCACAGCTTTTCCCAAGCAGAGATCTAGGTCCGAACGGGGCGGCGCGATCCTGTTGAAAGTTCATCGAAGGAGTGTCATTTAAACCCCCCAATGCCACCTAAAAGCGGCAGTAGACTGTGAGCTCCTCGTAAGCCTGTGATTAGGAGTACCACATGTCAGACAAACTCCTCCCCGTGGGAATCGCTTCGACGAGATTTCCCTCTGTCCCGACTGCAGCGATTCCTGGAAGGCAGAAGGCTGATGGGAGTCCGACGATGGCGATAAGGACAGGTCCTTCCGGTATCATGCCCAGCGGCGGGAACACCACAACGAAAGTCAGTCTCAGAACGGGAAGAAATCCGATCGATTGCCCGCTGATACTATACTACTCCAAAGGGAAGGTCAGCCTCGATCACCTCGCCAAAATTGAATCGCATGGTAAACTTTGGGGACTGTCAGAGCAATTCGAACGGCCTCAGGTGAGCTCGCTCAGCTAGTCACAAAAGAACAGCCGATGCATTGTGTCAGCGAGCAGGAGTGTCCAGCGTTTTCTACAAATGAGGCTAATACTAGAGGCGATGCTCGAGAAAACCCTATCCTGTGGTAACATTTCATTGAGGAACATGACCGGAACGCGGCAAACATCACCCAGACGCCGACACATATTAGAATTTTTCTATCTCATTCGAGCTCGGTTGCGCCTATGGCCTGCCTACCGTCTACCGAAGAGCATGCAGCGACAACGAGCTCCCCTTTCTTTTCGACATTCCGATTGCAAATGTACATGGTGTGCAGTCAGTCCGTGGAGCGTTTCGTTGGCATCTGCTCGGCGCCGAAACTCAAGATCAAACAGAGCCCTGATACTGAGCATGCACCGGCTAGACTTCGAGCGGAATTTCGTAAAAATGTTCCGATGCAGGAGCGGGTTTGGCTAACGGACAATGGACCCGCCTGTCTCGGAAGCAGCTCATTGCTGATGGCTCCCTGTTCCCCGCTAGTACTTGTTTATGATATGTCGAATCTATACGAGAATCGAATACGTGTAGCTCCTCGCATCGAGGCATTGATGGTCTCTTCAAATCCGATATCCGGCTGATGGACTGAAACCGGCATGAAGCGGTTCTCCCCACGGCGCGAGGAACAGAGGGTCTCGAAGTCTCGACGCTGGGAAGACCCCGGACCTCTTGCCTTGTTTTACCCGCAGCGCGAGTAGATTGGAGCTCTTCATCCTGGGGAGATAAGAAGTCGTTCTCATTTGAGTTCTCGAATTAGATAAATCTTCTGGAAAACTTCGAATGCTCCACTCTCCGTGTCCCCCTTCGTCCCGAGGAGGGCCGGGGCCGTCGGAATTCCGGTCCTCTAGGAATTTCTCATGATCGGCGAGTCCGCCATGAACCTCGGCGGCAGAGGTGCTTCCCTATGTCCCTGGACCATTAAGAGAGCTCTTTCGAGAACGCTCTCTTCCCCTGGAATCCGAGTGCCACTCCCCAACTCCGAGAAGAAGGGGATGCTGGTAATTCACTGGTGACACGAGGAGAGTTGAGGTGGCGAATTCTGAAATGACATTGTCGTCGACGTTCTTCAACTATGTATATCGGGAATTTGACTCCGGACACTTTAGCCATTCCGTTCGGCGGACCTCGCGCTCAGATACCGCGGCCCGATAATTTGACCCACGGCGAATAACAATGGAGTGATCCTTCCTTCGAGTGGTATCAAGCGACGGTACGATTTATGAGTCAGATCGACAGAAGCAGTATTTCCTATAGGAGCTCCGCATGCTCCGACTCGGCAAAATGGGAGTTTGGGTAAATAAGCAATACGCATTTATAGCTCAGTATCACGTGATCCAGAAACGAGCTACCGATGATCAGCAGGGCCCCCATTCACCCGGACGATTTTCTCAGGGAAAGCGGTTATTCCCCGGACGGACCTCAGAGCTGTAGGCGGACGGAAACTCGGACATTCGAACATGCGAGTCCCGCGGGAAATCGGGGCGCGAGATGATAGCACAATAGCGAATCGTCGCTTTATCTGCAAATCCGTCGAAGTCACTCGCGGCATCCGATAAGAGAAGCCGCTCTTCAGAAGGAAACCAATTTCCAGACTACGGATTCGCACTCGAAAACCGCTCCTTCCACATGAGTTGTGCTAGCCGAGCTCGTCATCCCGAAATCAAACCGGGTCGTACTCAGAGCTCATCACGAGCCCCTCCAAAACCGGACCTTTTCCGGACTTGTCCCGGACATTCCGGACCCGGACAAAAGATGAGGGAACCGGACAAAAAGATGGACAAGGACATACCCGGGTGAACGGGAAGTCTGATCATCTGTATCCAATGAGATAGGTACATAGTACATGTTGATGAGATTCTGCGTACGGATCGTGAGCACTCCTCGGGAAGTGATCTAAATGATCCTGCTCTTGGACGAAGTAACCCCGGGACAGCTTGCCGCGCTTAGGGAACCTACGAAGTCGCCAGAGTTTTCGCGACTGCTTGGGCATAAATCAAGCCCAATGAGAAACTCTAGAGTTGGGACTGACGAGGGATGTTCCCAAGGTGATCAGCGAGTCGAGTCTGAGTGAGGTTGGCACTTGGTAGAGATTCTTGCCTGCCGGAGACTAGGGGGAACGGGGAATATCACACGCCTTTGGCCTCGTCTAACAAAACAATGCACGAGCTCGCACGAACAATGCTCGAGGCCCGATAGACAATAGTGGGCTCTATGATTGACTGATGGAGGTCGAGCTAAGGCTCCGTGAAAGCGGTCGTGAGGGTGGGAATTTTGAGTTTTTGTTCGGTTCCGATCTGCTAATCGCTGTTGACCTCATCAACTTCCCGTGCGTGTTTCTGGGGATCCTGACGAATTGATCCCTCTTGGACGGTTCCGAGCTCCGCTTCCGTACCGAGTTCATGGAGCCGATGCACTACGCCCGCTCCTGCTCTGGCACGTGATTTCCCACCTATATATGCTAGCCGCGTGCTCAGACGTCCCGTGCGATAAGGATGAGCTCGCTTTTGTAGTTAGCGTTCCGATCACTCTCGAGCTCTATTTGATCTTAGCAAGCACCTTGGCAATTTTCAGGATCGTCGAGCTGAAAAATCCGAATGAATTAATCCGCAATAGATACACCTTAGAAGCCGTATACCCTACACTCCAGCTCCCAGATGGCGCCACCGATCCGTTCGACGGAATGAACGGAAGAGCGAGTGGGGAACGACGGATGACTGGAAGTCGTCCAGGGGGATTCAAGGCACGTGAATGGAGTGAAGTTGGGCCGGGGTCGGATGATGGATCAATGCTAAATTCTTCGGAGCTGGGCATCGGAAAGGATCGGCAATCGATTCTGTAGATCGCGCGAGAAGCAGGCAATGAAACCACCATGTCTGGCGTAGGTCGGGATATCACGTCGGATTTTTCCG